TCTTTGTTGGCTTTGTTGCATAGACAGAGTTGCAAATTGGGTCTGCACTGTCCATATAAAACTCACTTGAAGCTATCACCAAGAAAATCAAGGCCCAGAGGTCTCTGTGCCTTAGCCGACCTCAGAGAACCTTCTTCCTTCTAAAATTAAGAAAACCAAGACTGGGAACCCAGTTCATCAACAGCAAAGATCTGAAGCCAGGCGCACTTGCCTACTAAATTCTCACTCTGTTTTGTTTGAGGTAAGCTGGTTTCAGACTCCTGATTTTCTTGCCTGAACCTCCCAAGTGATGGAATATGTACCACCATGGCTAACACGTTTCACTCTTTTCTGTGTACTTCCTAAATTAGGCTTGACTTTCCCCCCTGCATGATAGGCGATATAGTGATGGAACTGATGGGAAACAGACAGTTCAGAGCCTAAACTAAAATCAAACTAAAACTGATCTGAGTTTCCCAAGATGTAGACCACAATATATAAACAGACCTCTTAAACCAGCAATGCATTTGTTGTGCATGCTCTTTCAGTCTTAGGCACACTGTACTGAGATATGTGAGTTAGCCACATAAACACAATCAAAGCAGAAAAATTTTTAGCAGTGTTGTCTTGGACACGTGGAGAAACTGCCTCCACATCCTCAGGTTCCTCACTCTAGTCCTGTTACCTTTAAGCACCTCTGTGTCAGACTGTCGACATTTCCATGAAATGATTCTGGCTTCTAAACTGTCCTGGAAGTGTTTGTGGGATGCTAAAATGGCCTTCAAGCAATCATCACAGAAGGGCAGGGGGAAATGTTTCCATAATAGTGGCTGTGTATTTATATCTCCTGAAGAAATAGCTCAGGTGTATGTTGATGACATAGATTAGCTGTCCTGCTTCAACAGCAAGTGAGAGCCAAGAGAACCACGACACTTAATGGGAAAGAATTTCCCAGCCCCAGACTGTGATCCCTTCTGACTTCTTTCCTAAAATCTCTGCTAAGCCTTCCTCTGTCTTCTTCCAGCTACTCATGAGCAGCACTTGACCTCTCTGACACCAACATCATTCCCTGACTCCATCCAGCCTCACACTGGCCAGAAGAAGAGCTTTTTTGTGCCTTTGATTATGAATCCTGTCTAGCAACTAATTGAGACCTTCCTTGGTTGTTGTGCTCACTGGAGCAAGTGTTCTGCTTGCTCTCCCTTCCCTTATACACTCCCCAATTGCAGATTTCCAAACACTGTGTAACCTCTTCTGTAAAGACTGATCCATGGAATAAAACTGGTTCACCTCTAGTTTTCCACTGACTGGTATAGGGGTGTTTTGAGATCCATGAGAGTGTTTTCAACTCATGCCAGGCAGACCCTCCTTAGCTTAAGTAGCTTTTGAGAGATGATATCACTGAGAGTAAGAGGAAAAGCACATGCCTCCTGGGTTCAATTAAATAAAGTTTCTGGCATTGTTGGTAGAACTACTGGTTCAAATGAATTGCTTCCTAGCAGAAAAGATAGAGCTCTGAGGCCAGAACACTAGATAATGCTGAATTGGAAAGGTCAGAGCCATAGGGCACCCTCTGCAGAACAGGGCAGGCAGAGCTGGGAGGCTCCCAGGTAACTAGAGATGAAGCTGGATGGAGTCAGGTGGAACTCAGAGGGGTGGGGAAGGAATGTGTACATGTAAATTCCTGGAGTTATCAAAGTGTTACTCATACATCAGGATAGCTCGATTGAGAAACTGGATTTTGAAGATTAACTCTAGGATGAATTTTTGCAAAAATATTTTTTAAAAGCAGAGAATGATAAATGTGGGTTATTTGGCACCATATGTAAATCTACATATATGTACATATGTATTTATGTATATTAATAGACAGTAGATTAATAATTACATAAAGGCCAAGTGAACTTTTAAAGTATCCAGCTTGGGAAAGTAAGTAAAAATGGAAATATTTGCAAATAAAGCTCAACGTTTCAAGAATACTAGGAGCCAAGCACTCCAAGAATGAATTCCAATTACCTGAAGTCATTGACACTTTAAAGAGCCCGAAGAGAATTGAACCACAAACTAAAATCCATTCATGTTAGTGTAATACTTGAAACTGGAACTGCAGATTCCAGGAATCAAAAATTCTCCCCAAGAATTTCTGGAAAGAAAAGTGAACTATGTGAGTGAAAAACAAAAATCATTTGAATTCTTAACTAAAGGAAGTTGCTCCCAAGAAGCGCAGACATGCTGAATGCTGTGCACTCATGACTGTCTGGAGCCCGTTCAGCTGAGGTGCGTCGGGATGACTGACTCTGGGCTCATGGTGTTTGCTGCCTGTTGGGTGTGAGGCAGCAGCTTTCTGTCAGGATAGCAGAAGGGAAAGAGTATGGTTCTCAAGCTGTCATATGTCTGGACAGATTTCTTAAGCCTCCCTGATTCTTTCACTACAGCACACCCGTGTCACCACGCGCTCTGTGAGGAGGAAGCTGTCTCTACTGTGCAGCTAGAGGGCCAGAGTTCAGGCTCTTGATCTATCCGCAAGTAGGAGGGGTGTTAAAGAGCCAGCTGTGGTAATCTCAGCAGGGGGCTAGATAAGAAGTTACTCCTGCTATTGCTGTCAATGACAAAAATATATGAATGAATGAATGAATGAATGAATGAATGAATGAATGAATAATGTAGAGATAAATAAAATCATGGTTTGGCAGAAAGAAAATATAATGGCCAAAAGAAGAAAAGATGCACTCTCAGGTTTTTTTTTATTGGGAGAAAACTAGTAAGTTTCTGTGAATGCTTCAGTAGGAAATGTGAGTAGAGCAACCAGTGAGACACTCCCCCTGTGCATCCACAGCCACATACAACAGCAGGAGCGCCATCTTGAGTCTTCCTCCTCCCAAGGCTGACTACTTTGGAGCCCTCACTCTGGGTAGCCTTTGCCATACATACATTCACGGCATCAGAAGTCACTGACTTAAAGTGATTTAAAGTGCTAATGTCCCAGGCAGTGTTGGCAACTGGCCAAGAGCAAAACCAAACAAAACCCATGCTTTTTAGTGCAAAGTGCAAGCCAAATCCACTTTGTGAGCCAGTTCTGATGTGAAGTACTATACAGCCAGTAGGGTAGGTGACTTGGAAGTGAGGAGGAAAAGATGAAACAGAGGATTAAAGCAAGTCACAACGGGCTGAGGGGGAGACTCAGAAAGAAGTCACAGTAAAGTTCAAGATCCAGTAGGCTAGAGAAAGCAAGATTAGGAGAGGAAATACCAGCAGAATGTTCTTCAGTCATGTTCATATTGGACAGTAAACTGCATGTCACAGAAATAGAAAGGTCTGAAAATGGAGGTCCCACTTTTGACATGGTTAGCTATATGAAGAAAAGACACTTAGATTGTGGTGGGTGAGAGTGTACATAATTATTTTCTCATTTGTAGGATGAGGATAATAATAATAGTTAATGCCTCAGAGAACTGTGGGTACTAAATTGAAAATGAACGTAAAAGGTTTTATAAATTGATCTTCTTAAATTATGGAAACAAAATACAGACATGAATACAAGTTGATACCTTATATCAGTGATTCTCAACGTTCCTAATGCTGAGACCATTTAATACACTTCCTCATGTTGTGGAGACCCCCAACCACAAAATTATTTCATTGTTACTTCCTAACTGTAATTTTGCTACTACTATGAATCATAATATAAATTTTTTGGAGATAGAAGTTTGCCAAAGAAGTCACAACCCACAGATTGATAATCACTGACTTATATAGAAGATGTTATTTTATTTTTATTTTTGATTGATTTATTCACTTACCTGCTTGTTTTGTGGTACTAGAGATTGAACCTATGGCCTCATATATGCAAGTGTCTCACACTGAGCTATATCCTCAGCCCCAGAAAACTTTAGTTGTTAGAATAATAACCACCCTGTGATAAACCCCTGAAGCATGTCAGAATCATCAACAGAAGTTTTGAAACTTTTGAACATTCTCACTCTTCAGGGTTTTTTTTGTTTTGTTTTTTCAAGACAGGGTTTCTCTGTGCAGCTTTGCGCCTTTTCCTAGAACTCACTTGGTAGCCCAGGCTGGCCTCGAACTCACAGAGATCCGCCTGGCTCTGCCTCCCGAGTGCTGGGATTAAAGGCGTGCGCCACCACCGCCCGGCACTCTTCAGTTTTTTGAAACATGGGTATCATCATCTCAATATATAACAGAGGTTCAAACAGGTTAAGTCAGTTGCCCCCAGTCTTTCCTTAGAAAGGACCTTGTCATTCTGATGAACTATGTAAACAAAGTCATACTTGTCTGTACATAGTTTCCTTTGACTCCCAGAAATCATAGGAATAGAAATGAACAATATATTCGATTTTCACAAATTAAAACCATTTTTTGAGGTCTTAGAAAAAACAAGACTCTGGTATGTAAATTAAAACAACCTTGATTAGAATTAAAGGGAAATGAATAGGCTATGGTCTGTCCCACTATTCCAGTACCATATCTTTAGAAATACCTCTAGAAAAAAAGGTTGAGGTGGACTCTCAAGAACTGTTTAGTAAGTAAACCAACTTAATTTATTGCTTTTTTTGCTGTACACCTTGAACCTCAGCATTTGGAAGTCAGAAGTAGGTGGATCTCTATGAATTCCAGGTGAGCCTGGTATCCATACTGAGTTCCAAGCCAGCCAGGGTTACATAGTGAGACACTGTCTCCAAAATAAATAAATAAATAAAATATATAAAATAAGAAATACTTGCTTGCTTACCCAAAGGAGCTGTGTCAGCTCTTTGAAGGAAAAAGTGATATCACATGGCAAAACGTGACCTGGGTCCCTTAATCCTGCCTCTTTTGATCTCAAAAGGTGGTAACATTCAGTTCGGAGCTCACTCATCTGTAAATTGCATCACATTATCTCTGAGTTATTTAAGAAGCAAGCTCTGTTTGGTTTCAGACATTTTAACCTGCTAACAGCAAGAAGAAGTGTTCACCACATAGTTTCAAAGGTCTTCCTACCTGCCACTGTCACCAGGAAAAGCAAAATGATCGAAGCCATAGGGAATCAGTACATAGTGGCCAGACCAGTGTATTCCACAAACACTTTTGGAGAGGAGTTTAAGAAGACGCACAGACACCACAAGACATTCCTGGATCATCTCAAAGGGTGTTGTAGGTAAGAGACTCTTCAGGTACTGGAATGAGGAAGAAACGAGCAATTTATCCTAAATTTTCTAGCTTTCATGCTTTCCTTTCTGGCTCTAGTCCATAGCTTCGGAAATCTGTCTCTCTTGGTTTTCTAAACTCCCTGCCTGAGGTGAAAAGGCAAAAGGAACACACCATCTCAGCTAGCGGCACAAACACAGTTCTTCCAAGTCAGAGGGAAACAGGCGAATTCTCAATTGAAGTGCTGCACAGTTCAACTCAGGATGACACATAAATTCTGTTACAACCAAAGAAAAGCTAGCATTTTCCTTTTTAAAAAGTTTCCTTGGTAGTGACCAAAACTTTTGGCAGGGGCAAAGAGGAGATTGTTAGTGGGAGTGAATTCACCAGTTTCATCTTTAAAATGTCATCTTTGCCAATTTTCTACCTACTCTTAGGAACCAAACTTAAAATTTGACATTAATTCACTGATCTGTGGCTTTTAATGTTTTCAGCTGCTCCTCACAAAAGGCCAAGAAAATTGCCCTCTCTGTGTTCCCCATAGCATCTTGGTTGCCAGCGTACAAGATAAAGGAATGGCTTCTGAGTGACATCGTTTCTGGCATCAGCACCGGGCTGGTGGCTGTACTACAAGGTAATTTTTTCCTTTTTCTTTCCTCTTTTACCTTTTCTTTTATATTAAAGATATAATTAATATAACATAAAATTCACCATGTAATTCTTTTGCGTGTGTACATATGAGTGTGTGCTAGACCAAGGCTTCACAAATGCTAGGTTTGTATTCTACCAACATGTTACATGCCCAGCTACCCTTTTGTTATGTATAATTCTATGGCTTTTAGTACATTAATCAGGTTGTGCACCTAACATCACTAATTCTAGCATATTTTCACCACCTTCTCTTCTCCCTACCCCTTCACACACACACCAAATCCTTTATCCTTCAATAGACACTTCATAACTCCTTCCTCCACTCAACCCCTTAACACTTTCCATGTCTATTGATTTTCCTGTTCTGGATATTTTGTGCAGATGGAATTGTATGTGGCACTTTGTGTCTGATTCTTATCTCTTAGTATAATGCTTTCCAGTTTATTCATATTGTAACAAGAACAATATTCTACTGTATGATTGTACCACATTTCATTGAACATTTGAGTCATTTCTATTCAGAGGTGATGATGAATAAAGCTTTTATGAGCATCTGTGTACAACTCTTTGTGTAAAAATACATTTAAATTGCCTGAATATATCCCTTGGAGTCTAAGTGCTGGGTCCTGGGGTAGCTCAATGTTTCCTCACTTGTAGAGATGCACAGCTGCATCATTTCCATTCCCCCTAGGAGTGCACATGGCTTCAGATACCTCCATACCTTACTGCTATCTGTTTTACCTTTGCCATTTTAGTGGGTGAGAACTGGCATCTCATTGTGGCTTTGATCTGTATTTCTCTAATAGCTAATGGTGTTTGTTAAGTATCTACTCTTTTCTTATGCCTTTGGAAAAATACGTTTTCAAATCCTTCATCTTTTGTTCTGTTTTGTTTGTTTGGGTGGTGCTGGAGAGATCAAGCCCAGGGCCTGATGCATACAAAGCAATAATGTTATGACTGAACTAGACTCCTAGTTCTCCTTGCTGTTTTAAAAATGTTAGTTACCAGGGCTGGAGATGTATGTAGCTCAGTTGGCAGAGTGATTGCCCTGGATTCCATTGCCAGAACAGTAGGAATCAGGTGTCACGTCTGCTATCCCAGCACTCAGGAGGTGGAGGTAGGAGGGTCTATACACTGGGCTATGAGACCTGTCTTTTATTGTAGAGGTACAAAGGTTACTTATGTATTTCTGACACTAAACCTTTATCTGATATATATTTGCCAACAACTATTTTTCATTCTCTGTATTGTCATTTCACTTTTGGTTTTTAAAACTGGAGAGAGGAAGGGCAGTTGAGACAGGGTCTCATATAGCCTGGGCTGGCTTCAAACTCCTGATTATCCTCTACCTCCAAAATGCTAAGATTACAAGCATGTGCCACCATGCCCAGCCTAAAAGATGACCCATTATGGCCATTTCCTGTGTCTTTAATGTGATTAAAGGAGAGTAGATTAAGCCCAGGGCAAATATACTACCACTGAGCTACAGCCCAGTTCCCTAAACATTCCTATTTTGCAGTACTGGGGAGTCAAACTAAGGCATCCTGCATGCTAGGCAAGTGCTCTATTTGATCAAAACTCACTTTGCTGATAGCATCCTTTGAGTATGCTTTTGTTTTTCCAGTGCTGTGATTAAGCCCAGGAGCATGCCACATGTTAGGCAGGTACTCTTTCATTGATCCATGTTCCCACTAAAGCATTTTTATTTTCAATTCTTTGATTGCTTGTGCTGTATGTAGCCTTTCTGATAGACTGTTGCCTGATTCAAAATTGTAAAGATTCATACTCATGTGTTCTTCTAACAATGTTAGTTTTAGTTCTTGTATTTATATCTTCAACACATTTGGGGTTAATGTGGTGACTTACTTTAAATGCTCAATCTTGTAGCATGAATCTTAAAAGTTCTTATTAATAAAACAAACCTGAGGCCAGTTACTGGGGTGAAATGCTGGAAGATCAGAGAGACACAACAAGCCACAGCTTCCTCACCTGGCCAATTCCTCAGGTGATCCTGTTTCCTCAGACTGGATGCCTCTCAGCTGAACTGTGCTGCTCAAAACCTAAAAGCTTAACCAGCCAAATGCTTAACCAGTCAAATGCTTCTAGTTTCTGGTCCTCACACCTTATATACCTTTCTGGTTTCTACTACCACTCCCTGGGATTAAAGGCTTGCTTTCTGGGATTAAAGACGTGAGTCACCATGCTTGGCTGTATCCTTGAACAGATGGATTTCTGCCTTGCTCTGCCTCCCAAGTGCTGGGATTAAAGGCGTGTGCTACCACTGCCTATCCTCTATGTTTAATATTGTGGCTGTTCTGTCTCTGACCCCAGATAAGTTTATTAGGGTGCACAATATTTCGGGGAACACAATACCACCACACAATCTAAACTACTAGGAGAACCTGATGAAAATTAAAGACCTGGCTATTGTCTCTCCAGGTTTAGCATTTGCTCTGCTGGTCAACATCCCTCCAGCCTACGGGTTGTATGCGGCCTTTTTCCCAGTCCTAACCTACTTTTTCTTGGGCACGTCTAGACACATATCTGTGGGTAAGTCAATTACTGGACAGATTCATGCTGGTTTTTATTCACTCTACCGTAAATTCCAAATTGTACATAATTCAGAAGACTCACAGTTTCCTGAAAGAATCAGGGCTAAGGCTGGTTATACACAGTAGCTTGCTTGTATTATGCAATTTTGTGGCTGAACGGGAACTCAGGTATATGGAGGCACATATTGACCATAGTTTACCTTTGGTTAACTAGGTCCGTTTCCAGTTCTGAGTATGATGGTGGGAGTTGTAGTTACAAGAGTGGCCTCAAGAGGCAGCACTGCTCCAGAACTGTCCTCAAGCTCAGTCGAAAATGATTCAGTGATAGAGGAGAGGATAATGGTGGCCGCATCAGTGACTGTTCTTTCTGGAATCATTCAGGTGAGTCTGATTCTAGTGTGATTTGTCTGCCAAAATGTTTGTCTTGACTGGTCCCTATCTTTCCATATCTCCTTCCTCCTGTGACTCCTCCTCATCTTTTGGTTTGTGTGCCCCATTGGGTGGACCATAGAAAGTATTTTTAAATAATATTCTTATTTATTCTCTGGGAACTGTATATAATGTATCTTGATTTTATTCTCTCTCCTCCCCTAACTCATCTCAGATCCTCCCAGATTCCCCAAGTATTTATGAAGAGTCATTTACCACAACCAAAGGGTAAACATGGTCTAGACACAAACAGACAAACACAATCTAGGTAGAAGTAAAAGTGGCAGGATGAAGGCTTATGTGGTAAGGAATGAAATGCTTAATTAAATAAAAATATACTGGAATCAGTGTCATCATCAAATGTAACTATATAATGATACTAGTAGCTTTGGAAGTTTTTCTGTCTAATGCCTCAGTTACTTTAATTTAGTTGGGAGGGAATTGGTGCTCTGATTTTTAAACTATCCATATAAAAAACTTGGGAAATAACATGAAAAAGATTATAGTGAGACTGCACCTTCCTTCCCAATCTCCAGGGCCAGCACTATTATGAAGAGTGAAAATGCCATGGGCTTCTCAAGATGTTACTTAAGATTCCAGTGATATCTTTGCTTAAAACCATTTCTAAAAGAAAGGAAAAGTCGATTGTATAAGGACACAAGTGTGCATCCCATTGACAAGCCTTGTGGTCATTTGTTTCTCACACACTTCTGAATGTGAAAAAGTGGAACTCAAATCGAATTTTGTGTACCTGAAGTTCTGTCTGTATTTTGAAGACATGAGTGTAGAAGACAGTCAAGGGTCTGAGGGAAGTAGAGTCTACTTAATACATTCACTGTAAACAATGATGCTTTGGAGACAGTAAGCACCTTTGCTCCCTGGCTAAAACCTCACACTTCTAACATGCAGTATGCAGTGATGTATTTATTTTCTACATTTATGTATTTATGTGGGGGCTAGGTTCATAGGACAACTTTTGGGAGTTGGTTTTCTCCTTCCACCATGAGGGCCCCAGAGATTGAACCCAGGTCATCTGGCTTGGCAGCAAGAACTTTAACCCTCTGAACCATCTCACCAGCCCTAGTCACATGTTTCCTAAGCAAGCTGAGTAACTTACTGCACTCACCATACATGCCTCAACAACAAATTTATGAGAACTAATGGGGGTAAGATTTTGCTATACAAGGCTTATGGTGCTTCTTCTAAAGATACTGCACCTAAAAATGAGGAAGCAAGAAAGGAGGTCCTTCATGGGTCTGATACTTCCGGAGGCATGGGATTTATGTACTATCTGAACATCATATAATGTTCAACCTGAGGGATGGAAGAGAAAGGCCCAGAACAATCCTGAATGGTAGATGTGCCAAGAGGCAGAGGCATTGGCTTCTTCACGGAATGTTTCCATGGGCTGAACTTCATGTTTGAAGCACTTTCGGGTGAGTCTTTGGTTTGCTGATGTGCACTCCTAACCTATACTAACAAAGACTTTTGTCCTTCTCTTTCCAGTTGCTTTTGGGGGTTCTGCAGATAGGGTTTGTGGTGATATATCTATCTGAGTCCCTAATCAGTGGCTTCACCACAGCTGCTGCCATTCATGTTTTGGTTTCTCAACTGAAATTCATGCTGCAACTGACCGTCCCAGCATACAGCGACCCATTCTCTATTTTCAAAGTAAGTATTCCTGTCATTTAAACAATACCAAAGTAGCTAGGCATGATGGTCTTTAATTTCAGCACTTGGGAGGCAGAGGCAGGTAGATACTTGTAAATTCAAGGCCAGTTGGTTCTCTCTCTCTCTCTCTCTCTCTCTCTCTCTCTCTCTCTCTCTCTCTCTCTCTCACACACACACACACACACACACACACACACACACACACACACACACACACACACGGGGGGGGGGGTATATGAAGTTTGTGTCTGCAATCCAGTACAGTTAAGCATCAAGTTAAGTTACTGTGTATGGAAAAAAGTTTAAAATGTATATGGAAACAGCTTTTGGACATACTTAATTTTCTCCCTTTTAAACAACTTTTTAATTTTGAGACATTAACCAGAACTTTGGACACTGACACCTCTCTGTTATCCTCAAAAAATGGTCCTATTTAGCCACAATCCCATTGAGAAATAGCAGAACAGTGAACTTGATACAGTGGGGATCAAATACACAGAAACCTGATGGTTCACGACAGGTCACTTCCAGCTACTCTCTCTTCCCAAACTCCATCCCACTATGATTAAAGCAGAGACAAACAACTACCCTACTAGGCTGTTAGACTGGGTGCCCCTTTTGTTGAAGTGAAAAACTATTGTATTTGGAATCAGTCTGCTCCCTTAAAATGTCAGCTTGGTTGTGTAGCATTTAGTATGAATGACTCCATTTTGTTTTGGTCTAGTCTGTTTGGGCCTAGTGAAACAGTGCAGTACAAATCAATGGCATCGTATCAGTTGATCAGCAGGTAGTATCTTCAGTCCTTCTTAAAGGACAGTCTTTGGGATTCTGAGACAGCACCTGCTCTGAACACTCTCACTCCCACATAGAAGTATTCCAGAATTGGGGTGTGCATGAAATCCAGCTTGGGTCTACTTGAGCTGTCTTGGGCCTATGGATATACAACCCAACTTCCTTCGAGAAGTATACTCTGCATAGTACAGGCATTTTCCATGTGACCCAGAGAAGGTCTGTATTGTGAAGGAATGTACTTAAAAATGCACAAAAATGCCCAGAAACTAGAAATGACTCCTTGGACAGAACAGTAGAAAATTCTATGAAATAAAAAGCAATACTGTTGCCTGGTGTGGCGAGACCTTAGATTTGGGTTCAAGCTCCAGCACTGCAAACAGAAAAAAACAAACAAAAAGCCGCCGAGACCTAGGGGTGGAAGAGATCCATTGTAAAACCATGAAAAATATCCAACACAGTTTGATATTAGCTAAAGATCTTTTTAGACACATCCCCAAAGCAGTGTTTCCTGCTGTGCTATTCACCCTCAGTGTATCTCTATGACAGCCCCCACCATTTGAGGGCTCATGGTTGACAGCAGCTGGACACAGAAAGGCTGCAGCTATGTGCCAATCTTTTGTCTTAATATCTGTTTTAATGTTTGGAGAGAAATGTGTTTGAATTATGAATTCATACAGGACTTCAGTTCATCTGCGTTTCTTATGGTAGGTCCTGGAGTCAGTCTTCACACAGATTCAGAAGACTAACATTGCAGACCTCGTGACATCTGTGATTATTCTAGTGGTTGTATTTGTCGTTAAAGAAATCAATCAACGCTACAGAAGCAAGCTTCCAGTGCCTATCCCCATCGAACTCATCATGGTATTGACTGTCATTGGGAGAATTTCATTTATAATCTAGTTTTAAGGAGAGAAAGCCATCTGTACATCACGTTGCCATGAGGCAGGCACTGTCTCCCATTTCTGGCTTTAACATTTAGTATGGATTTCTATTCATCAGAATTTACCAGTTCCTTCCCGTTATCTGGGTTTATTCCGTCCAAGGCAGAAACAGCAACACCTCCATAGCCAGGCTATAAAAAGACCCTTCAAGCATGAGCTGTAATGTCCATGCAAACTAGAATTGCCTTGAGGCCCCTTAAAATGTATCTAGGCCTAGGCTAGAGATTATTTTTTTTATCTTTTTCACATTTATCATTTATTTAGTGTCGGTATATGAGGAGGTCAGAGACAAACTTGCAGGAGTTCTACGGAGTGGATCTCAGTGATCAGATACAGATAGTCAGGCTTGGCAGCAAGCAGGTTTAGATTTGGGGCAATGGTGGTGTTTTCAAAGTATGGTTTTTAGTTGCACCTCATATTCTAATTTGGACAATTTGGAACTTTGCAGACTGTGATTGCAACAGGTGTATCCTACGGCTGTAACTTTGAACAGAAGTTTGGCGTGGCTGTGGTTGGGAATATGAGTTTAGGGTAAGTGTATCTTCAATGCTGGCATCTTCCAGCACTCAGTGAAGAAAGCAACAGTAATTACAAGAATCATACAACCCCTTTGAGAAGTCCTGGCACCCTCTCTCTTCAGCAAGCAGTCAAAAAAACAAACAAACAAACAAACAAAAACAACAACAACAAAAAACACCAGGATTCACAACACTTAGAAAGAGTCTCCTTGTAGAAAAACTCACCAACCAGGCAGTCAAGGACTCAAAACAGTGAAAACTGGGGCTAGAGCAATGGCTCAGCTGTTAAGATCACTTACTGCTCTTGCAGAGAATCTGAGTTCAGTTCCCAGGACCCACATGGCAGCCCAAAACCACCTATTATGATTCTACTTCCAGGGTATGTGACTTCCTCTAATGTATCCAGATGTCTCTCTCTCTCTCTCTCTCTCTCTCTCTCTCTCTCTCTCTCTCTCTCTCTCTCTCTCTCTCTCTCTCACACACACACACACACACACACACACACACACACACACACACACACACAAACTTATAAAATAAAAATGAAAATTAGGAAAAGTTCAAAAAAAATAAATCTCTTCTCCTTATAAAGAGGCATCAACTGAAACCAGGTTTCCTGGTCCATGATGACCTAAACAACATGCACTTCTTTGTTTGAGGTCACCTGAGCCAAGTTCCAAACTTCCAAGAGACACACAAAAGGCACAGCAGCTGAGTAATACAGGCAGCACACTCTGTCCTTCTTCAGGATCACACTCAGAGCAAAGCCAGAGGGATAGCTCAGCAAGAGGAAGGGAAGCTGGGAACACAAGGATCTGAGAGTACAGTCCTGTGTGATTAGCAGACTGAGAGGAGCCTGGGTTTATGTTGTTTTCTCTCCCTGACCTCTAACCATAGATAGTATTGGTTGCTTTCAACTTACTTACCAAGGAAAACTGTTCTCCAGTTTAAATAAATGATTTTCCTTTCTCTAGGCTTAACAAGTATTTGATATTTACAGAAATTATATATATGTACATATATATATATATATATATATCCACTATATCTACATCTATCTTAATATAGTTGAATTTTTGTTTTGTTTTGGTTTGGTTTGGTTTGATTTTTTGAGATAGGCTTTCTCTGTGTAACCCTGGCTGTCCTGGAACTCATTCTGTAGACCAGGCTGGCCTTAAACTCACTGAGATCCAACTGCTGGAGTTGAAGGTATGAGTCACCACTGCCTGGCTTAACTGAATTCTTTTAAAAGCAGGTATATGTGTGGCTTTTAAAGTAACATATATTTATACAAATATACATATATATAGAGAGAGACATATCTTCATATGTTCTACTTAATTAAAAAAATCTTTATTTTTATTTTTTTTTTTTTAGTTTTAAGAAGTTGTGAGAAATGAGACTGGGAACATTTGTCTCTAGGTTTCTTCCCACTCTGCAATTTTCAAGTGATTGCACTTCACTTAAATTTCTTAGAGACATAAACCCCATCAGAAAACAAACAAATGCAATAATCAAAGGGGAGCTTGTCAGAGGTAGAATGTTTTGAAAATAAACGGTAAACAAGATCATTGAGTGATAATCCTTATTTAGTAAATATATTAAATATACATGCACTTATCCCACCAGGTGTGTGGGGCAGGGAGGCACATAGCTCATGTTTATTAACCATGAATTCTCCAGAGAGGCGGTGTGACTAAGTATATATGCTAAGTGCTCCAGCTCCAGATCAACTGAAGTTAACTTCAGATATACCTCCTGTCCTTGGGCAAATTCACTAAACTGTTACCTTCACGCATTTGGTTATGAAAGGGTGCTAAAAATAGTAAAGATTCTAGAAGTGTTAAATGGGTTTATGCATGTGGCATGTTAAGTGCACAAGTTCTATTTCAAGTTCAAACATTACTACTTATTGGTTTAGCACCTAAATGAAATACAAGATCCAATTTTTTTTCCTAAATGACCAAGTAAGCATTTAAAATTTCTGTTGACTGCAAATAGACTATTACTGAATGTAATGATTATTAATTCTTGCTAGCTTGAATTGCTACTAATAGATAGGCTACTTTAGAAATTATTTTTGTGGTGTCACATATGCACATTAAATGTGTGCAAATAACATGATCCAAGGGAAGTGGCTTAAAAGGGTAAAGGAACAACACAGAGACTTAGATTCCATAGGCATCTTACAGGCATGGTCAGCAGTCATCTTGTATTTCATGGTGTGCAGCGCTCACAATCACTATTTTAGTTGGCCTTCCCTCATAACTATGAAGATAAGAGAACAATATTATTGTCTCATTTGACAAATGAAGATCCAGGCTCAGGGAAAGTAGAGCCAAGGAATGGAGTCTTTGACCAGGAAACTCCATCATACCACACTTAATGCTCAGAAGTCAAAACAAAAGCAAACTTATAATGATGGGTTCTTAGTTATTTTCATATAAAATGAAATCTTTAATTGTATCTTTGCTATCAGGTTTGTTTTTAAAAACTGAATTCCAATCCACCTTTCTAACTTGCATGGAATAATAATGCTTTATCAAGACTACAGCCCAATATTTATTATCAAAGACATAAAAGATGAAACAATAATTCAGACACAGTTGGCTGGATCCAGTTCTGCACTTCAAACAAGCCTCAGGTCGGAAGTAGATGATGATGGGAGCTGAGCATTTTAGTACCTTGATGTTGTTTGAGACACACAGCTTTTGTAATACAACTTCTCAGAGTTTGTGCGCATGAACATGGACATATCCCCTGTGAGGCACACTTGTCTCTGAGACACCTTGAACTGAAACTTGCTCTCCTCTGGGTGTGGTGGACCCTAGTGGTTCTCCAGAGCACAGGGCAAAGCCCAAGGCCCACCTCTCAGGGTTTTCAATGAAAAGCTACTGTTACTAATGGGAAGAAGATTTGTATTTTCCTTATCCCAGAATTGTATTTGCTCAAAGAGCCTTCAGCCATGGATAAACTATTGAGATTAATGCTCTGAAACCCATAATGGCAACAGGTGGAATCTAAGACATTTGCCTGAAGGGGAATATGAGTACACATGATATTTTGAGTGCACTGGCAAGATTATATCCATCTTACGATTATTGTCAGGCTAGATTTATAATTTTATCAATCCAAGCATCATTACTTCACAATAGCAAAAGGGAAATTCCAAATTTTTCAATGGGACCAAGTTCTTTGGACCATATTTCTATGAAAGACACAATTCATCACAGATTGCTTCATCCATTCATTTGCCCAATAATCTTTTGAGTTTCTGAATAAGTCGGTGGCATATAATTTTGCTTGTTTTCAATTTCAGATTTCAGCCCCCTATTACACCCAGTGTAGAAGTTTTTCAAGACACCATAGGAGACAGCTTTGGAATTGCAATTGTTGGTTTTGCAGTGGCCTTTTCCGTTGCCAGCGTCTATTCTCTCAAATACGATTATCCAATTGACGGCAATCAGGTAACTGGGTCTAATTAGGTACATATTTCATGCACCTAATATTCTTCTGAAAGAGGACATTTTAGGAAAAGCTTCTTCCCTTGCCTTCTGCAGGAGTTGATCGCCTTGGGAATAAGCAACATATTCACTGGAGCATTCAAAGGATTTGCAGGGAGCACAGCCCTTTCCAGATCAGGGGTTCAGGAGAGCACAGGAGGCAAAACACAGGTATCTTAGCATTCCTACCACAAGGCCAGCATAGCGTTGAGGACTGGGAAATCCAAGCCTGGTAGAAAGCAGCAGCTGTCGTGAGAACTATTTCATCTTCACAGGTTGCAGGGCTCCTCTCTGCTGTCATTGTGCTGATTGTCATTGTTGCCATCGGATTTCTTCTGCAGCCGCTACAAAAGGTAATTCTCCTCTCTTTTGGGGGTGTAACATCTCTCTCCTTGAGGCAATATATCTAACTCTCAAATTCCAAAAACACAAACTATGCTAGGGTAAATGAGTTCATGACAAACTCTCAGATATTCTCCTTAGTCTACAGTGTATGGACCAACCTTTCCTTTCTCCTGGCAGCCTTTTATGAATGTTAGGAATGCAGATGCCCAAGCTGCTTTATCTACTCTACTCTCTGCGGGTGCATAGAGCAGAACATAATTAATGTTTAAGCAGGGAGGCACTCTGGCATTGCAGTTTCAACCTAGACTGACTGAAGTGAAGATTTTCTTAAAGGGTTAGGTCATCAAGTTCTCTATCTAATGTAGAGAGTGGTGCTACCAGCTCCACACCTGTTCTTGGGAACATGCCCTGCAGCTCCAAGGAGTTTGGTTTGACTCCAAAACCAACACCGTCAGATTGTAGGATGGGAGTAAACAGCCAGACACAGAACTCGCCTCTTGCCCTTGAGCTCCCTGTCTGTAACTGTTTGGGTTTCATTTAATACTCGTAAATAGCCCCAGTGTCCTGGAAACCACAGAGCCTCTATGAAGGCAGATTATGGTAAATACAAGTGCATTGCTCTCTGGGGTATTCATTGGATTTCAAAGGAGTACATAGTGGGTCAGGAGTCCTGTGACCATCTTCTAATCTTAGCTCTGCCACTTACTAACTGTGTGATTTGAGGTCAATACGTTAACCTCTCTGAATCTCAAGAGCTCCACATATAAAATAGGGATGAAATAGTACCTGCTACACAGAGTAGCTGTGACAATAATGATGTAACACACAGGGAATAGTTAACCCAGGTCACTAAGACCATTAACAAAAGTCATTAATATTATTATCCAAACATTCCATTATACTTCTGACTGCAAAGGAAATATGAGATAAAAAAAAGAGATATGGGGCTGGAGAGATGGCTCAGTGGATAAGAGCACTGATTGCTCTTCCAGAGGTCCTGAGTTCAATTCCCAGCAACCACATGGTGGCTCACAACCATCTGTAATGAGATCTGGTGTCCTCGTCTGGCCTGCAAACATACATGCAGGCAGAATGCTGTATACATAATAAATAAATCTTTAAAAAAAAAAAAAAAAAAAAAGAGATATGATTCAGTCCACCAATATCTATTGTTTGCTATCTGGGTCCTTCTTCCATGTTGATTCATAGCTGGAATGTATATTCACCTCCATCTGTAAAAACTGTATTGGCTGAATCTGTCTCCAAGGAGTATAGAGCACTATTTGCAAAAAACATGTCTTCTATACACCAAAATCCTTAGCTTCAAAACAAATGTCATGAAAGAGGTCAAGACATCACCAGTAAAGAAATTTTAGTTTTGCCTGCATGTGTGTATGTGTACCACATGCATGAAACACCTGTGGAGGCCAGAAGAGGGCATCGGATCTCCCTGAAACTGGAACAGCTCCCACAAGACTAATTACAATATGTGAAACACCAGAAATGATGAGTAGTATGTGGCAGGCTGAGTTAACACCCAAGACCCTCTTAGTGAATCCACCACTCGACTGTGTCAGTGACTTTTTAAGAGGCTGTGTTGTGGGTTGTCACTCCTAGATTGGGAAATATAAATTCATTGGCTTATCCACTCATTCAATGACTAATTATTAAACTCTTCCTATTTATCATAGTATGCTCTGGGAACAGGGCACCTATGTCTGGGTGGTCTCAGAGCCTGCCTCAGGCCTTTGTTAACTATTCTTTGATCATTAGCTTCCTTTTATAAAACAGCTTGGCAGTTGTCATCACCAAAGGCAACCCCTATGTCTTTGTTTAAATGGACAGGTTCAACCAGCTTAGCTTGGGAACAACTAATTCAAGGGTTCACATGTAGGTCTTAAGATCTACCTCTCTCTACTGCAGGATATAGACTACTATAAATGCCATCAGCTCATCTATGGCACAGTCACAAAGATCTGCTCAGTCTTGTCACTGGGATGGGACAACCTCACGTAGGGAAACAAGTCAGAGTCCCAACCCTGGCCCATTGGGCATCGCACACCCGAAAAGGGCGTGCCCTTTGATATACTTTGAGGCCTGCTAAGGCACTTATCTGTGGCCTTCACCTTTGCCTCTATATGGTTTGTTTGATTAACTTAAAAGTGCATCTGTTGTTTATGTCTTTCACAGTCTGTCCTGGCAGCTTTAGCTCTTGGAAACTTAAAGGGAATGCTGATGCAGTTTGCCGAAATAGGCAGATTGTGGAAAAAGGATAAATATGATTGTGTAAGTAGATACAATGGTATTTGAGAAAATGAAAAATCAGAATAGTAGCTTAATGCTGATGCAAAATGTATATATTATAAATGCTGTGAAATTTTGCTTCAACTTATCAGTTTGCAATAACCTTAGTTTATTTCCTATCTTGAAAGTGAATGCTCTTCTGATCATTATCTGGGACTTTTAACTTAAAATGATGGTGGCATTATATGCTGAGATGATGCCTATAATTCTAGCACTCTGGAGACTGAGGCAGGAACAACATGAGTTTGAGGCCAGCCTGAGCTTAATAATGAGCTCCTATTTCAGAAATAGTAAAGCTGAAGAAATGGATGGCTCAGTGGTAAAGAACACTGAGTTTTGAGTTCTGAGTTTAGTTCTCAGCACCCATGTTGGGTGACTCACAACCACCTGAAACTTAGTTTTAGGGGATTAGGCTCTTCTGGTATCCATGGGCAGTCAGACAGGCACACACGAATGTGCACACACATGTGCGTATGCACACACCCAAAAAAGATCTAAAAATAAATGAATAAATAAATGGATGAGTTCTTGAAAGTATAAAGTGCTTCCTAAAACACTAGTGTAGGGCTTTCCTTCGATCCGTCATTAAAGTTCTTGTAGGATATGCTGAACACCACAGGAGGCTCTGAATTTTAGGGTACATGTTGTTTCTGTTCTTTGTTAAATGATATGTTAGTTTCCAGAGAACCAGCAGAGGGTGTAAATTCTGAACATTCCTTCTGGAAACACCCATTCTTCTGGGGAAGCTCCTACTTGCTCTCAATTTGCCTGAAAAGCAGACTTTATAATTTAATCAGGGTCAAAGTCTGCATATAAAAATCTTGTTGGCATACCCTGTGGCACTACAAGAGCATAAAGTGATAAGCTGCATTTAGTTAGCTCGTGTTCCTCATCGATCACTGTGTGTCTTTCACCCACTTTGAGCAAGCTCAAGTTTTTTGTAAAGATAATAGCCATTAATTAAATTAATAGGACAAGCCTAAGATTAGTACAGGCTGTCCCAGTCAGTCTGCTGGGTTTGCTTGTTTGTTTTCCTTACAGTGCTGGGGATCGAACCAAAGGCCTAACACATACTAGGCTGGTGTTCTACCATTGCTGTATTCCAACCCTAGTCTGCTGAGTTGTTAGAGTGAACTGTGTAGAATTTTTGCCATGGCAACTCACTCCCCTTTATTCAGTCTGTTCTGGGATGGGATAGAAATAGGTACCCTGTCTGTAAAGCTTTTCCATTTATTTGCTTGAGTCTCTGTGGCCCAGCTATGAACCAGCAGAAATGAAATGACCTCTTGAGACGTGTCTTCCTAGGCACTTTGTTCTCTGAACCAAGATAACAACCTCCAACCACTTCCTTTGGCCCTAGACATTCACGCCTTCCCTAGCTCTGGACCTACAACACTTTACTTCCTTAAACTCCAGTGCATGCATTGTCCTCTCTTCTTACAGTTAATTTGGATCATGACCTTCATCTTTGCCATTGTCCTGGGACTCGGATTAGGCCTGGCAGCAAGTGTGGCATTTCAGCTCCTAACTATTGTGTTCAGGACCCAATTGTAAGTGTTCCCTGAGCTCTGCACAATCTCACAGGCTTTGACCTGCCCTATTAGAAGAGCAAAACCAATTGTCAGTGGCTAAGAGAAAAGTAGTGTGTTTAAATGGCATGGAGACCTATCAAGACTGACCATAAGGTAGAGGGATGGCTCAATGGTTAAGAGCACTTGTTCGATTCCTGGCACCACAACAAGTCTAGTTCCAGAGGAACCAATGCCACCTTCTGACCTCCTTAAAGGGGCAGGCAGGCATGTAGTACATAAACATTCATGCAAATAAAACATTCATACACATACATAAAAATAAGTAAATCTAAAAAATTATTTTTATAAGACTGGCCAATATAACCTCCCTCAAGTCACCCACCTGAAGGCTTGAAGGACCATAGAATGGTCCAGAACTAAACTCCAGTCAAAGGAGGACACCTGCTGCTGGCCTTCTTTCTGCTTTGATACAGGTTCAAAGGACTAGCAAACACCTGAGTCTGTGTTGCTCACCTGTGAACAGGACGAAATTCTGTCCTAAGCAGGTTTAGTGTTGTTGAGGTTCTTAGACAGTTGGGGGAGGGGGAGCTCCCTCTTCCTCTTCAGCTGGATGTGTGAACTTCTCAAAGACCCCCCAGGCCCAAAACTCTACGAAACTTCGTAATTCTTGATCCCTAAAGCCATCCGGCTCGTGTCTTTGTGGTTTTTAAGTCTTTGTCAGGTGATATCACCACCACGTGGTCACTCAGCCTATCTGGAATACATGGTATAATTGCAAGAGAAATGGGGATTGAGGGGTTCTAAAATAGAAGTTGCTACCAAAATTATTCCTTGAGCAGTGGAACATACCAGCATAAAAACTCAGCCTGTTGTTCTCTCCCTCTTTCATACCTTGTATTCTTATCAAATTGGATTCCGTATCTGAGCTCCATCAACTATAGAGAAAAACTGAATGGTCACATGGGCAAGTCATTTTTTTTTGAACAAGTTATCCTTATTTGTACAGTTGAGTACATAGGTCTCTAGCTCACCAAACACATTAATTAATTAACATACTTCACATTACACTGCCGGGGTCTTATGGGGTTGTGTGTAGATTGTGATGTTGCAGAGAGTGACTGTTTACAAAGCCCTGGGACACAAAGATAAGGGTTTGCACTCCAGGGTCTCGAATAAGATGAACTGCCCCACCTTTCAACTCTGAAAAGTAAGCCTGCATTAATAAGCTAGAAAAAACATTGGTGTTGGGCTTAACATAGGCAAGAATGATTTACTGGGGGCTTTTTTTTTTTCTTACAGTCCAAAATGCAGCACACTGGCTAATGTTGGAAGGAGCAACATCTACAAGAATAAAAAAAATTATGCTGATGTAAGAAAGACCCATTGTTGTCTTTGATGTGCTAAAATATTGTCAAATGAGGCAGTGAGGCTCACGTAACCATCTTACTTCTCTGTCTTGTAGGTATATGAGCCAGAAGGAGTGAAAATTTTCAGATGTCCATCTCCAATCTACTTTGCAAACATTGGTTTCTTTAAACAGAAACTTACTGATGCTGTAAGGTTCAAAAAATTCTTACTATCTGGGAGTGAAATGTTTCCTCTTTAGCAAGAAGGTCATTGACTTCCTGTATGTTGAAGCTGAGCTGTGTCAATATTTAGTCTGCATGTCCCAGCGTAGGTAAAACTATCTTAAAGGGATCCATTAATATGTTGGGAAATAAGCCTCTTCCTATGAGACTCAAGGTAGAGTCCTTGGTTTTAGATTTGCTGTGAAGTAAAAACATCACTCATGGCACTAGGGAGCTGGTTTTAATACATTGTCTTTGGGTACCAACCCAGAAACAACAGTGAAACATTTAACATTTGACTGCATCACCAAGGAGATTCAGGATAGTGGCTGTACATGGATAATTGACAAACCGTACTTAGCATTCTGGTAAAGAAGTCAAGGATCAATCTTTTAAGATCAAGTGACAAAATCCCAGCACTCAGGCAGATCTCAGTGAGTTCAAGACCAGCCTAGTCAACAGAGTGAGTTCCAGAATAGACATGGTCACATAATGAGACTGTGTCTCAAAAGACAAAACCAACCAACCAACCAAACAAACGTTTGGCATTCATTCTTAAAACATACCTTCTGACCTACTTTGTGCCTAATTATACTGATTGATTTATGTAGCCCCAAATTGAATATTAGAACTATAAAACTGTACTGGAATACATCTTTAAAAACATAATCACACCAGCTTTAGCCTTTTTGGGTGCCACCTCTACCTGACAAAAAGAAAATTAGGAAAATCAAGTTTCCTAGGAGTTTGGTTGGCCCACACACAAACAGATTCAAGTAAAATTTAAAAATATTTATGAATCATTTGTGGATAAATTCTGGACTGTATGAATGTTTTTGAAATTTGATAATTGCATGCAGACTAAGCAAACCATAGCCCTGATTCAATATTGTTGCTAGTATTGTTTTTAAATTTTGTTTTAAAACATTTTATCTCAATTACTCGTATGTCCTGAGCCCTCAGCACCTCCTAGCTAGTCATCATCATCATCCTGTTCTGTAAGTAGCAGGATGCTCAGCTCCCCTGTATCACAGTAACTGGGTTTTCAGGTTGGCTTTAACCCACTTCGAATTCTACGCAAGCGCAATAAAGCTTTGAAGAAAATCCGAAAACTGCAGAAACGAGGCCTGATACAAGTGACACCTGTAAGTTTCTGACCACATTTCCATGTATTTCGGGTAAAACACCAATGCTTTTAGTAAAGCATAATTCAAAGTCTTGGTTCCATTGCTTTAAATGAAATGCTAGATAAACACATTCTGTATGTTCATTAGTGTGATATTTATTATATTAGTGTGTGTGTGTGTGTGTGTGTGTGTGTGTGTGTGTGTGTGTGTGTGTGTGTGTACATACATGTGGAAGTCAAAGTATAACTTTTGGGAGTTGGTTCTCTCCTTCTTTCCACCACGTGAGCCCCAGAGATTGAATTCAGGTCCTCAGGCCTTGTGGCAAGCTCACCTACCTCTGAGCCATCTTGCCAGCCTTAATGTCACTTTTTTGATAGCATCTTTGAGGATTTCCTTAAAAAAATTTTTTTTGTCCTGCAAAGAGTATCAAAAGCAAAAGGTATGAAGCATCTATGCATCCTGTTGCTGACCCAAGTTGAATTCAAGCTCCAGGCACTCCTGCTTATCCATGACATACACACATTTTCAGTCAGAGTCACTCCATCTGTTACCACCCCTCTCCTGCAGAAAGGGTTCATCTGCACCTCTGATGGCTTCAAAGACTCCGATGAAGAGTTGGACAACAACCAGATAGAAGAGCTGGATCAGCCGATCAATACCACAGACTTGCCCTTTGAGATTGACTGGAATGCCCATCTCCCCCTCAACATCACCGTCCCTGCAGTCAGCCTCCACAGCCTCATCCTCGACTTTTCAGCTGTGTCCTTCCTTGACGTCTCCTCAATGAGGGGTCTCAAAACGGTAATTTGTGTTTTCTTGATGTCAAAAATCATCTGTATGAAAAAAAAAAAACAACTTTACACACACATCACACACATGAATGCACATATATGCACACACACACCATAGGCACACACACACACACATACACACACACACACACACATACACACACACATACACACACACACACACACACACACACACACACACACACACACACACACACACGTGTGCCAGATATCAACACTGAGTGTTTTCCTTAGATGCTTTCCTTGTTTGTTTGCTGGCTTGCTTGCTTGTTTGTTTTGAGACCTGGTCTCTCACTGAACCTAGAGCTCATTGATTAGGGCCTATGAGCTCTGGGGAGGCACCTATCTCTGTGTCACACACATCCCCAAACACACACGTGTCTGCCCCAGGACTGGAACTAGAGACCCACGCCACCATTCAGCATGACTTTTTGTGTGGGTTCTGGGGATCCAACTCAGGTCTTCATGCCTGGCAAACACTTTACCAACTGAGCTATCTCCCCAGCCTAGGTAATACATACTTTATTAGAATTTTAGCCTTAGTTAAGCTCGTGAGAAGCAGACAGCAGTGGAGATTATTGGATGGAACCATGCATAATTTTGAAGGTGGTCAAATCCATACTTAAAATGTTTGCAGAAGCTTCGGGTAAACAACTACGCTCACATTTTTTTTCAAACCTGGATATCATGGGTGTTCTCAGACCCTTATGGGCATTGTATTTATATTATTCTGAAAACAAAGGAGACTCAGAAAAGTCTAGGATATGGTAGAACAGTGGGTATATTTGTTTTTATCCTCATCTTTTCCAACAGATGAAATTTCACTTGGCAATTTAAAAGTGTGTGTCATATTGTTATACTAAGTAGCCATATGAAAGAGTGAAAATCACATGTCATTTAAAAATAGGTATAAAACAAGTAGTGTGGCTTGCTTCCTTTGCATTTTATTCTCAGCATTTCTACAATTAATATCCAACAGAACTGAAAGAACACCCAGGGAATAAATAAATTCTACACTGCTTTCTGCTTCTCTTAGGTTTTCACAGGTATCTGTTGAAGTGAGCTGAGCTGAGTTCCATTGAGTATGGGTGAACTGAACACAAAATTAAAAAACAAAACCAGAGGCTGGAGAGATGGCTCAGAGGTTAAGAGCACTGGCTGTTCTTCCAGAGGTCATGAGTTCAATTCCCAGCAACCACATGGTGGCTCACAACCATCCATAATGAGACCTGGTGCCCTCTTCTGACCTGCAGGTGTATATGCAGACAGAACACTTTATACATAATAAATAAATAAATCTTTAAAAAAAAAAAATTTAGTTTTCTAACTTAATTTTTTCCTTTTGTTGTTTTTGTCATTTAGTTTTGTTTGTTTTTTGATTTGTTTTGTTTTTTGAGATAGGGTCTCATGAAGCACAGGGTGTCCTGAATTTGTATAGCCTAAGCTGGCCTTGAACTCATGATCTTTCTGCCTCTGCTTTCTAAGTGCTGAGATCACAGATGTGGTTCTCTGTGTAGCCCTGGCTGTCCTAGAACTCACTCTGTAGATCAGACTGGCATCGAATTTACAGAGATCCACCTGCCTCTGCCTCCTGAGTGCTGGGATTAAAGGCGTGAGACAGGCTTCACTTTTTTTTTTTTCTCTAATACTAGCAGTACAACACAAACAGCAAAGATTCTGGATAGTGTTTTTTTAATCCCCAGTTCTCAGATGGTGCCTGGAGAAGTTCTAGAAGTGTTGTTTTTTTTTTTTGTTTTTTTTTTTTTTTGATGATGATGGTGATGGTATTCATGCCCTAACCTGATCAAGAATGAAAGCTACCTGTCTTACACTTTGTCCTCTCACATCACCACTGGCATCCGTTTTTTGCCAGGACACCAGGACCCTGATCTTTGCTCCTTGGTACCAGACACATCCAGCTGCTGTGCACGGGAACAATGAACAACACATGGACGAATTTGTGTGCTGTTTTTACATGATTAGAAAGTTCCAGTCGGTCTGGGTGGGGCATGCCTTTAGTCCCAACACTCACAAGGCAGAGGAAGGAGAATCTCTGTGAGTTCAAGGCCAGCCTAATCTACCGAGTGTGTTCCAGCACAGCCAGGGCTACACAGAGAAACCCTGTCTTGAAAAGCCAAAGTGGGGGAGAAGAAAATGGGAAAGTTCTAGTCATTTCCACAAAATATCCTATGTTGAAATTGAATCAAAGACAATCTTGTGAGTTTGAGACAGAACATTTTCTTATCTTTTTCTTAAAAATGTTTAATGTCAGCCGGGCGGTGGTGGCACACGCCTTTAATCCCAGCACTCGGGAGGCAGAGGCAGGAGGATCTCTGTGAGTTCGAGGCCAGCCTGGTCTACAAAGTGAGTTCCAGGAAAGGCGCAAAACTACAGAGAAACCCTGTCTCGAAAAACCAAAAAAAAAAAAAAAAATGTTTAATGTCTTACTGAGGAAGGCTTTTCCCTTCAGGATTTTGTTTACTTTTATCATGCAGCCTTGTTTTTAACTTTACTGTGTCCTTATTGTCTATTTCCAAAACATAAATGGTTCTGAAAATAATCACTCATAAGGTACTATAACAGTTTGTGTTTGTGACAAGTGGAAACTCTTCCCTAAAATAGATATACCTTCTGTTTTAACAGATTTTGCAAGAATTTATTAGGATCAAGGTAGATGTATATATTGTGGGAACGGATGGTAAGTTCATTTATTTATGTATTTGTTTGTTTATTATTATTATTACTTTAGTTTTCAGAGCTTTATTAGGAGGGAAAAGGGGGGAGGGGAAAGAGGAGGGCCAGACCTGGAAAGAGAGAAAGATGGGGGGGGTGGGTGGAGCAGAGCAGAGACAGAGCAGAGAGCTTGTTTATTATTTTAAGACAATATCTTGCTATGTAGTTCAGGTTGGCCTCAGTCTCCCAAGTTCTGGTATTACAGCATGTACCATTGTGCCTGGTTAAAGGTGTAGCAATATTTCCTTTTCTGTCAATGCTAGAGATGGAACCAGAGCCTCATATGATAGACCCAGCCCAGGGTCTTCTAACTATATTTAATGTTCAGACAGTCACATCAGGCTCCCAGCTAATCTAGACAGGCCATCTAAAGAACAGTCATGTGATCACAAGGAAACTGAATTTTCAGTTGAGCCAGTAAAAATCCCCATGGAAATCACAGCTTATATTTGCTGTTAATGTGTGATTAAATGAATTTTATGATTTGGGTCCTAATTTCATAGGTATAGCAAATGAGTGAGTGTGTGAACTACTTTTCACTCTGAACTTGTTGGAAACATTGCTGTCTCCTCTCTCCCTTACATTCTTCAGCCATAACAACCTGGCTTTGGCTTGCCTTTGCTGGTAAGGCCATTCTTGCCAAAGGTATCCAAGGGTGATGTCCAATTTATCAAGACTAAAGACCTGTTCTGAGGCCTACTTGAGTAGGTGGCCTTAAAACTCTCCCTGCTTGGCTTCTGAGCCCATTCTTTTAAAGTCTACCTCCTTTCTCATAGCAACACAGTTTCCTCTACAGCTACTCTCCCAGGCCTAACATTCGGCTTTCCCCACGATACAATCTTAAAACCTACCACTGTGATTTCATGAACTCTTCCTAGCCAATCTCCTCCATACTCATGTCAAATGTATTCATGTGTTAATGGATCCCCAAACTGTATCTCCAGCCCAAATCATAGCTGAGACCCACACATAGATTGGCTGGATGTCCCCCAGGCACCTGATACACAATTAGTATATATGACCTCTCTCTCTTCCTGTCCTTTCCAATCTTGACAGTAGTATTGCTGTAGCCTGCTTCCCTGTGTAGGTCCCCAGTACCACCTTTAATTACTCCCTCTCCCCTTCTCTTGACAATCCATGAGCTACCAGATCCTAGAGATAGTTCTTCTTAAATTAGTCTGTCCCTGGTTGCATAGCCTTACTCCAAACACTTATCTACTCTTACGTCAGCCATCAGGAAGACCTAACCAGTGTGTTTATCCATCCTCTCATCTAATAATCAGATTAAACAATTCTTTCAATGTTTTTCTCAGCAGTAACCGAAAACTTCGTCAGGCAGAACACTGGGGCTTCAGTCTGCACACACCATGTTGTTCTACGGTTCTGTCAGGGTCCCCACTTGTCTCCTCTAGAGGCAGTACTGGTCTTGTTTATCTTCATAGTCCCTGTCTCTTGCCTAGATCTTAGGTAATGGCATTTAATCCGATGAAGACTCACTGAGTACCTACTACATGTCAGACACTGTTTTGGGTGAGGACATGGGGCTGAATTTCATGGGAAATCCATATCATAATAAAATAAAGCCAGGAATGTGACATATGAGTGAAGTATGGGAGTCAATCTTGACAGCACCTCAGCAAATAGCATTTTAGGGAGAGGTGAAAAACAGTTCACAAAAATTGACACCTTCCTGGCTCCCACCTCCATAAACTACAGACATATTCTAGTTTCAAGAGTTGATTATAATTGAAAATATTCCATTGATCCAAGTAACCTGTTAATTTACTGGAGGACTTTATTCCCTCTCTACCATTTGTTTGTACCCATCTGCCTAAGCCACTTGATATTCTTTTCAGTCTGACATCACCTTCCTCCCATTCTCCTTGCTCTTTCTGGGTCCCTGTCTGTTGAAAGCTTCCTATGAACTTCCACACCATCATTCATCCATTTTCTTTCTTTTTCTCCACCTCTCTCTAAATCCTAAGCACTGTGACATGCTGTGGCTCTGTACAGTTTTCCATGATGCTCACCTGGAGGAAACAGCCTTCACCTGCTGTCAGAAATTTCATAGTACACATCCCATACTTTCATTAATTTACCAAAACAATGTGAGGATCTACTGTGCACTGCTTGTTGTATTTAAAACTAAGAAAATAAAAAAGGGGGGAACTGAACTATTCCTTGCCCCCACTTTTCCTGTCAGTAGTACAGTTATGTATAAATGTTATTTGTGGGTGAGGATCAAGTCTAATTTACCTTTTTATTGCTTAGATAGATCTTTGCACATAATAGATATAAATTCATATTTGCTTGAGTGATCTGTGCAAACAAATGTGGGCTAGTTCCTACCAGTGTGGTATTTCTCAAAGAAAATGGGGAAAGTAATGCGAGAAGCTAAGGAAGATGTTTCATAAAGCCCAGCAACCTGAGAAAATGGGCTACAGTTCAGTCACTGGTAGATAATCAATCTGACAGTCAAAACTCAGCACATCACACACAGGTTTTCTAATTAGAAAGAACACAATTTTTTAATAATAGAATAATAGTCACACTTATTGCAATCATTAAGTAAGAAAACTAACTCAGTAAGTCCCTGCCTAAATAAGAGTGCAATCATTTCTTCCAGGAACCATTTTCTCGTCCCTTCCACACAATGGCATTGAATTTGTGAAAGATACACAAGTTACACTGCTGTATCCCAGTCAATCCTGGGTCAATGAAATGCACACTTTTAAATGGACTTTTAAATTAGTAGTTTCATGGGGAAACAAGTCTCTTTCTAAGCAATATGGTGTCTTCTTTTCCTTCAGATGATTTCATTGACAAACTTGCTCGGTGTGAATTTTTTGATGACGAAGTCACAGACTCAATATTTTTCTTAACAATCCATGATGCTGTTTTGCATATTTTGATGAAGAAGGACTACAGCACTTCAAAGTTTAATTCTAGCCAGGTACAGATGATTTGATGACATTCACAGTTGTAGCCAATACTCAAGTGTTTCCTCTAAATTCCAACATTGATCCCTAACCCCTATTTCCACTCTTTTTCTCAGGAAAAAGAAATGAAATTTGACTTTACCATAAATACAAATGGAGGACTACGTAATCGAGAATGTCAGGTATGATTCTTCAACAGATTTATCTTCATCCAAACTTCACAGCAAATATATAGACACATATGCACACATATATACACATGTATGTATATATGTTTATATGGGCCTGTGAAAAAGCTCATCAGGTAAAGGTGCTTGGCCAAACCTGACAACCCAAAGCTCCTCATGATGGAAGGAAAGAACCAACTTTCATTGACCAGACCTCACATGCACAATGTTTTGCATACACACACACACACACACACACACACACACACACACACACACACACACACACACAAAGTATTAGGGTTTCTTCCATTATCTGTAGAAAATCCAGTACCTACTCAAGCCTCTGTACCTCATTCTTGGAAACTGAAGCAATGCTGCCTAATTTCATGCGGAAGTCTGATGAAACATACACTCAGATGAGAAGAAGGAGAGGGAGGGAGAAAAAGAAAAAAAAGAAAGGAAGGAAGGAAGAGGGAAATGACAAGTTAGTGTTACCGTGAGCACATCTCTTTCAGTTTCCAAAGCTGAAATAGAATTCTTAAACCTGGTCTTATTCTAACCTCCTGATAACCTGTAAGACAGGAAAGCCATTGCTCCCTCTGTCCATCAGAGCTTGGAAATAGTAGGCACCCTCAGACATACAGGTATATGGAAGTCCCTAGAACAGTGATTAGCTCAACATGAAAGCTAAATTCCTTTCCTTTCTTACTAGAATGAGTTGCCCATTATTTAACTGGATAGTTCCAATTCATTCTAGAACATTCATTTCTAATATATTCAGTCCTTTAAGGCAATGTCTGTAGTAAAGAGAAAGTGATTTCTATTGTAGGCCCAGGACATGGTAGGTTATTACATTATTTTAAATCTTTAGGACAACATACAAAGAAGATATCTTCTATTTCAAATGAGGGTGTTAGTAAACAGACTCAGAGAATTTAATTTGTGTGAATTACACCCTGAATGGCAGCAACAAAACTTACCCTAAGAACTGATGACAAGCACTGTGTGCAGCCTTGCTGTAGTGCACCACTTCTATACTTCAGGTAAAGACTGACAAGGTCTCTAAAGAAGAATCTAATGATGGTCACCAAGTACAGAAGGCAGCCAGTGGTATTTCCTAAGAACAGCAAACAAGAATGCAGATTAGACACAAATCAAGGTATAGGGTCAGATAACCCTCGACCAAGGAGTGATAGCAAATAGCAAAGGTGAAGTGGAAGGGCGTTACTTAGAGAGACCTGAAAGAGCAGAGCAAGCATGACCCTGCCTCCTAGCATGGATTCAGACACATACACACCCAGTTTGGCTTCAGAACTGTCACCAAGTACTAAGGGACAAAGTCTAAGAATCATACTTAAATCAGAATGGAGCCAGCACCATGATATATTCCTTCCCACACTGAAAAAAATAAAAGTTTAACACCAGCTCCTGGATTTGCTTAGAGGAGAATAAAACAACAGTTGTGGATAGTCCACCAGCTGTGGGATACAATCAGAATGTGAGGCAGAGAGATCAGTGTGTAACAGCACTTGCTGTCAAGCCTGCTGACCTAAGTTCAATTCCCAGAACCCAGAGGATGACTCTTTCAACTTGTCCTCTGACCTCCACATGCACACTATGGCATGCCTCTCTCCTCATCAAATAAATAAGTGAATGAATAAATAAATGTAAAAAGAATTTAAAAACAAAACAAGATGCCTGACTGGTATCCAAGGCTCCTTGGAGCTTGGGTGACTCAGAACAAATATAAGGACATATATAGCTGTAACATATTGTATTGTTAATGCTTAAGCTACAAATAGGTCTTTGAAACGTACACAAAGTAAACATGTCAATGCACGGATCCATACTAATCCAGCAGCAACGGAAGGCCATTAAAGATTCCTTTTTTTTTTTTTTTTAAAGCTGAAGAGATGGCTCAGTAAGAGTACTGGGCAGCTCTTCTAGAAGAATGGGGTTCAATTCCCAACACTGACATGGCAGCTCACAACCACCTGTAACTCAAGTCCCAGAGGATCCAATGTTCTCTTCTGGCTTCTGCAGGCATCAGGCATGCACATAATTCATATACATACATTCAGGCAAAACACACATATACAAAAATTAAACAAACTATTTTAAAAGTATTAAAAAAATACTGGTAACTGTTAAGTTCCAGATCCTAAGAAAGAATTGCTGAAAAGGGAACTTAACAAATCATTTAAAACAAAAACTTTGTTTTCTTCCAGGTACCAGTTGAAACGAAATTCTAATCAAGATACAATTCAGAAGGATTCTCATCTGTCATATTAACAACTTTATACCTAGAAAGTTATTGCTAAATTCATACATTGTATGAATGATATTTTTATTTGACAGAATTATGTTTCAAACTTTGGAACGAGATTGTTCTAGCATGGTATATTTTTCACATATCCACTATGAAATTATGTACATATTCCTAATTTTCTGCCTTGTAGACTTATCAAAGGTAGAAAATTATTTTGTTTATATGTTATTTTTGTAGCATTGACAGATTCCTATCCAAGTCATTATCTTCAAGCACAATGTTTTATGGTGTATTCACACCATCGCTTTGACGCTAATTTATACAGGTCAGCTAATATATCTCTATTTTAAACAATTAAGCTGTATAGGTGTGTGCTGTTTTACTAAGTTTGTTGGTTTTCTGAAGCATGCTTGCTGTGGATCCTTCTTGAGTGCTGTGGCAACACTGCTATGAGAATCTTTCAGCAGAACTTTGTCATAGGACTGTTTTGACCAGAGTTTTATTATCACTCCAGTTTTTAAGGCTCTAACCTATCTAGATACAGACACAGTCCTCCTAATGCTATATATAAAAGTATTATATAAGGACTTTAAAGGCAATTCCTTACTTCCCTTCCTGGTATGAAAACCATAGAAGATAACGGGGGCTATAAAATGACAAAGCAAGAAGGGAAGAGTAAAGAGATGTCATTGCTTCATTTCACTGGGAGAGAAACCATTAGGAAAAGGCATGTTTTGTTTGTAACTCACAGGGCAGAAAGAGTTGTTGAGCTTTTTGTTGGAGAGTGAGATTCAGCCCCCTTGAGTTGCTCACTGGCCTTGTTCTTGTGGCAAACATGCACTTACTCATGTGATACTTGGAAATTAAAACAGCAGCATCACCACACAACTCAGAGCCCTCAGTTAAACACCAAACTACTCTGTGAGGAAGCTGGTCCTATAGTTTTAGACTGGCTTCTAAACACTTACTGTCAAAGCATGCTTTCATCCTTACCTGAGACCGCCCAGAAAGGCTTGACTATTAGACTTTAATCAAAGTTCAGAAAGGCAGAATGAAGTTATTTAAATAGTGACCTTACCTAAAAACAAGAGAAATAACACTTTTCAGTGTTCTTTAAGCTTTTTGAGTCATGATCACCTAATAGAACTCGTGCAGTTTTAGGATGGGGACACACGCACACAGAACTTGTTCAGTTTTAGGATGGGGACACACACACACACACACACATGCAGTTTTAGGATGGACACACACACACACACCTCTGTGACTCTCAGGATAAGAGCTTTTCCTTCCTTTTTCCTTTCCAGGAAAAGTAGAGTTGGGAAAAAGATTCAAATTCATATTGTGGTTGCTTTATCCCAGGCAATGGCACTCCCTACATTCTTGCTAAGGAAATAACAGAGGGCAGACACGACTCTCCAAGTCCATGGCTAACCTTAACATCTTAACAGGCTCACTGAATTCATTCTCAATTGTTTCTTTTCTCTTCTACGGCAGCGATGTTTTGAGGAATGGGAATTTGTGGACCTCTGTCTCAACTTGTCTGCTTCATAGCCAATACTAAAACTAGTACAGAAACCCAACCCATAATCAGAGAGAGAGAGGATAAGATATTGTGTTGGTAGAGATAAAAATAAAACTTTGAGAAAGCAGAGCAACATTGAAAAGGAAACTAAAGAGCCAGGGACAGATACATTACTCAAAATAAGAAATTAGCTGGAGATAATACCTGCCAAAATGATCTTAACATTTAGCCTTGATAAGTGGTGTTGTCTAAGGAGCTGCACAGCACTTACAAATTTTTGAACGGGAGCCTGACTCTACAATGCATGAACAGAGAAAGGTAGAATTCCCAGGTTTTTTGTTTGTTTGGTTTTGGTTTTGGTTTTTTAGCATCTCTGTGTATTTCATTGTGTTGAAACTGCCCTAAAGATCCAATTTTTCATCTTTTCTCCTCTGTGAATAATGACTCTATTCTTCAAGCTCCAAAGGAAAACAAAACAAAACAAAACAAAAGAAAATCTGTCAGGAATCCTGACTAGAAAGTATAGAACACACAATCCTTTAATTCTCAAAGTAGCCCTTACATAGTAAAGATTCTTGGGGCCAGGGCTGAGTTCAGAGCCTTACACACACTGCTGCTGCGATACACCCTAGTTCTAATGTTCGTTTACCTCCAGTTTTTTGAGACGAGAACTCTTGCATCCCAGGCTAGCCTGGAACTATGTGGCTGAGGATGACCTCCATCTCCTGATTCTCTTAAATCTCCAAGCACTGGGACTACAGGAATGAGTGCGCTACCTTCCCTCACCCCAGCTCAGCTTCACATTTTAGAAAGGAAACTAAAACAGAATTCAAAGAGGACAGGTGATATAGTTGTCAGACTATTCTGTACAGTCTACACTGTACAGTTTTTTTTTTTTTTTTTTTTGGTTTTTCGAGACAGGGTTTCTCTGTGTAGCTTTGCGCCTTTCCTGGAACTCACTTGGTAGCCCAGGCTGGCCTCGAACTCACAGAGATCCGCCTGGCTCTGCCTCCCGAGTGCTGGGATTAAAGGCGTGCGCCACCACCGCCCGGCAACACTGTACAGTTTTTAGGAAACATTAACTCTCAAAAGAAATTAAAATGTCTAAAAACTGATTACAGGCAGGTCTTAACTCAGAAATAGTACATGCTATTTATTCCGAAGTTACTAATTTAACATTGTACAATTAAATACAATCTACAAAGCTATCATGAATTCTATTTTTATAATTTTACGTTATGATTTTTGTGTTTATAATCTAGTAATTCATTTTTAAAAATATTTTTTATGTATGGGTGTTTGGGCTGCATGTACATCTGTGCCAGAAGGCATCAGATCTGTTGGGACTGGAGTTATGGAATCAAACCTGAGTGCTCTGGAAGAGCCAGCCAGTGATCTTTAACTGAGCGATCTCTCCAGCCCTGGTAATTCATTTTTAAGGGTGAAATTCTTTTTCTGACCACTATACCTTGAAAATAAATACTTACAAAATCTTTTGAATTAAAATGTAAGCTGCTAAATAGCAGTGACCATATCTACTTTGTAAATTCTTTATGTATCCACATCTAACACTATAGGTGTTTGCTTTTCTGTGCATACACACACATAAAGAGTCCTCAAGTTACCCAGTTAATACCTGCAAAGCTACCACCACCATCCCTAGAGTAATTAAAACACTGGCTTCTGCTTCCATCTTTGCCTTACTAGTCTTTCCTTAACATACAGCAAAATAACCAATTCTTTTACAGAGCCAGGTCATCCTACTCCTTTATTTGGGATGGCACAAAAGCTTCTCTTGTCATCAGAATAAGATCCTTATTGCTAATAACTTTGTCTTGAATTTCTTTGTCAAGTCTTGGGGGCCAAACCTATGGGTTTGTGAATGCTAGCCAAGTGTTCTACCTGAGCCAATTCTGCCTTTGACCTCACCTTTCTACTCACCTATTACTATTTAACTTCAGTTTGTAAAGCTCTGCTCCTATTCAACATGACTTTCACCTTAGCTCAAATGTCATCTTTTCAATGCCATTCCCACTAAAGCTACAAACTACCCAATTATACTAACTGGTTTCCCCACAGGATTCTGACAAACCTGTCTAACATGGTACATAATTTATACTTATGATTGGCAGTCTCTAAAGACTCTGCATCCCAAGTGCTTAATACTGTACAGTGAGTAAATACTTCAATAAATGAACCTATATATCCCACAATAGCTCAGTATAAAATTAGTGAATACAGCTTATGAAATATATTTACCAGGGCTTAAAATGTTCACTAGGTCATGGAGCCTATTTAGTTGTCAGATTTTTAACTAAAACTAGATGCAGGTCCAAGTTAACTACTCATCAGGGGAGCTGACCACCGTGGGAGGGGGGCGGGATCTTGACTTGACTTCTCCAAAAGGAAGGTTCTGCCCATGTGTGAGAACTCAACCGTGACATGTTTGATGCAATCCTGTCATTTTGATGCCTGAAAATTAAGAGTATGAGACAGTGAAACTTGAGAATTACTATGTACATTTAGCATTCTCCATCAAGTGCTCTCTTCAATGATAGAAAACTGAAGGAGTTTTAAAAACCAAGTCAGTTTTTATTAGGGGTGCTTCAGAATAGTTGCCTAGCTTATCTAGCACTCCTCTATGCTTACGAAAGCCAGCATTGCTTTATTATATTGTACAACTATTCTAATAAGCAAATTCTGTTTGGTTCCTAGGTTAGACTTTAACATCATAAACCAATGAATAAAAATAAATTCATTTCGATCAGAATAGAGTACATTTGAGTATGACTGTGTTAAACTTCTTTAATATCAATCTGATAATTTGATGGCCAATCTGAGAAACGTTTCTGTTTTAGGTACTTATAATTATCACATACTTTGATGTTAAATTATCTGAAACAGAAATGTAGGTCTTTTTCTAAAACCTGTATGACACTCTTTAAGCAGTTCTGTGTGCCTCACACAGTAAATAGCTACTACTTAAAAATTATAAAAACACTCCAATCTTTTCTATTTATATTTCTATTATATCTGACTAGTATTGACACAATTTTGAACAAGTAGCTCCTATAGGGAAAAGGAGAACAGCTCTTTACAGTCTCAGAAATAGATCTTTCTCCAAATATTGAAAGTACTCACAAACTCTGAACAAATATGCCAAAGAAATACACCAGCCAACTTTGGTTATAAGCATTTAAAAAATGAACCTAATTTTACTGTGGAGCTGTGGAAAGTTCTGCAATCTCCCAAACATGTCATCATTAGGTTAAAAACTCATCTCAGCAAAACAGTATTTATGCTTCCATTTTATTGTTTTTAAGAATTGAACTGCCACCTCAGTAGTCTTAAGAGCAATTAATGAAACATACATACATTTAGACTTATGTCCGTTATAGATAGCTTCAAAGGCTTCCCTGAAATGCACTGGGATTCACAACTTTTTCCTTAAGAACAGTAATCCTGTTAATTGTCTACCCACCCACCCTCATTCAAACAATCAGCTGATGAATTCAAGTCTAACATTTAAAATTCTGTCTATTACAAGACACTCATCTGACCTGCCTCCCAGTATAACACGTATTAACATAACTAAAATTGTCATTTACACCTACAAGAATTCTCATAATGTGGGATTTTTTTCATGATACTGATTTTTTTGGTCCAAAATACAGGCTAGGATGGTTTCTTACCATGTCCAACCTCAGTAAATCTCAATACAAGAGCTTCTCATAAACAGTTAAGAAGCTCTTACATGAATCTGGCTATTTTCTAATTACATGAAACAAAGTTATTTGGATTGTAACAGTTAATATTTAAATAGCTCCTAAACAGGGATATGAAAAGGAATCAAGTTTGCACCAATCCAAGTACCTACAGTAATATAACAGAAACACTCACCACCATGTCACACTATTTCACTCCCATGCTTATAGTAACAAAAGTTTCTCAGTAGAAATAGTGCATGAGCAAACCAGACTCTCACTGCTATACGTGGGGGAAAAAAATCACTTGCTCAAGAAAGGCTGCATTAGTTATTTTTGGCCAGCCAAGGCTGAAATGCCCATTTATATTATTTCTTACTTCTGTGCTAATAAGTTCAGAAATCATTTTGCATCTGATCGTCCAACATGAGACTGTTCCTGTACCTGACAAAATAAAATGGTGAATTACCAATCAGTACTTGTCAAAAACCAATGTTCTAAATTTATATACTACACACTATCTAATAAATGCTATCTGCATACTACACACCATGTTTATATTATGCACCATTTTAAGGAGGGAAGAAAAGCTTCATAAGGGTTTAGTCAATTCAAAGGATATATAATAATATCCTAAGAATGCTGACTTATACATAGGAAAGCTGTATAAACTGAGTGGTTATCTTCAGTGGACTCTAACAAGCCCCTATAATGCAAACACTGACTCCAAAGGCACCTTACATGGCACTGAAATTCACAATCTAATAATTACTTTTCTTCTGTCCAATTCAAAATTATCAGGTTGTCCTCACTATTGATTCTGTGCTACAATGTTAGAATGCTTTACAAAAGGAGGAGGAGGAGGAAATAATTAAGTTTTAAAATTTCAACTTAGAGGAAAAACTCACCACAGCAATGAAACCTGAGTAAATGCTAGGTTGTGGTTTTATAAGAAACACCCTTTGCTAATACATCAGTCAAATTCCTCCACAGCACTCAAGTTGCAGTTTAAAACCCCATAAACAAGAACACACTAAAACACAGAATCAAACTACTATGAAGAAATGCGGATTTAAATAAAGTCTAGTCAGTCCTAAACATGTAGGTTAAGACAGTGAACACAGAACACACTTCATCCAAATAACACCGTTCCAGCAATCCTATAAAGTGACATAATTTAAGAGTAAGTGTGATGGATCATGTGATTCTAACCACTCAGGAGAAAAGCATCAATGAGGACAGCATCTCATCCACAGCTTAGAGCCTGTAAAGCCAGTCATTTTCAAAATGATTAGAATGCCTTGGGGCATGTCAAACTACACCATTACAGGAATTCTGATGTATTCTGGCACTCCTGAGGCAGTTCAAAGACAAAAATGAATCCAAGTACATAATTACTACCCCTTGAAATTTCAGTGCCTAAAATGTGAAGTAATTCCCTATCATGTAACAGTCTGCCTGGTAACAATTCTAGTAGATTTTTATTTTTAGGACTTTAACTTTGGAAAATTAGTGGTAAAACATATGGTTTTAAAAAAAAATTATGCGGTTGTACTTAAATTCACATAAAAACAGCATTTTTTACAACCATCTTGAAATTTAATCCTTTTACATAGGTTAACAAAATGCATCACAAGAAAAACTAAACATTGGGTTTAATAAAAGCAGTATTTTTGAAAATGGAACAGTGAAAAATTTGTAAATTTTATACAAATGGTCATTTCTGGGTCAATTTACCACACCAAAGTAACAGCTGCTAAGATACATGTGTGCTCAACTGAGCCACTTACCTGCACTACAGTATAGTATTTGAAAGCAATCCTAAGGTCAAGATTTAAAACCATTTTAAGGGTTAAGACTGTGTTTTATAGCCACTTCAAAAGAGGTATTTTTCCTTCCCCCAACAGTCAAAAGCTAAATTAAAAGATTGACTAATTTAATCATTTTCCTTGTCATAGCTTCAGTTCAAAACACTATGATCACTGGTAATATGGTCTGTATCTTGTTTGATCTGGATGATGTGGTCCAGGTAGTGGGGTTTGAGAAGGCGGGCCCTGCATTCGTGGAGGTGGTGGTGGCCCTCTTGGCGCAGGCCATATACCAGGACTCATTCCTCCTGGTTGTGTAAATGGAGGGCTCAGAGTTCCTTGATCTTCAGTAAACTGGGGTAAAGAGTTAGGATTGTAATGGTGAGGAGGGGGTGCAGTTACAGGTGGACCACCATGCTGAGGTGGGGGGGGTCCTGGAGGAGGATGATTCATATAAGGTGGCATCTGGGCAATAATATGTCCAGGGGGAGGGGTTATTGGTGGTGGAGCAGAGGTCATTGGTGGAGGTGGAGCTTGGCTATACACCAAGTGAGGAGTACCTGCAGCCTGGGGAGGATGTGGCATTGGATGGCTTATTGGTGGTGGAGGAGGTGGGGGTGGTGCATAATGTTGCTGTGGAGGCATAATATGATGAGGGTGCGATACCACTGGTTGGCCCTGATATTCAGGATGATGGTGAGCTGGTGCTGGGGCAGGAGGTGGTGGTTCTCTAGCACCTGAACTTGAGTCATCCTGAATAGGGACAGTTATTAAATTGCTGTGTTTTCTTGTTGAAATACGAAAGGTTTCCTGACTGACTGAACGAGGTGGAGGTGGAGCCATAGACAATTCTGCTGGAGGAGCACGAATATCCTCATGTGGCTGATTATAGTGCTCATGTGGCACATGCTGCAAAGGAGGTGGTGGCATCATGATGTGCTGCTTTGGAGGAATATGGCTTAGATGATGCTTGTCTGGTGGCATTATGAAACGATCGGGGATTTCAGTTGGTGGTGGGGCAATAGGAGGATGAACATTCTCAAGTGAAGCACGGGTAACTGGCTTTCCAGCTCTCATATGGCGATGGTTGATATGAGCTTGTAAGTCTCTCTGAGACAGATATGTTCTCTTGCAACCTTGAACAATGCTACACATGAAGAGAGAGCCTCGTGTACACTGCTCAATCCGCTGCACAGGATCACTACAGCTGAACAGGAAGGGAAAAAGTTGATTAACTAAAATCAGATACAAAACAGCACATTTATTTTAAACATTTTGCTTACTTTAAAAATGTTACACATTTGCAAAAGTTAAAAAAATATTTAATTACTGTTAGTGAACCTTTAATCTTCCCTATTTGTCTCACACATTAATCATCAATATTTCTACCAACCTGAGAATATTTTTTTACCTCAAAACTCTGAATTGTACCACCAAAGAGAATGACTTAAGAGACCTATTTTCCCAAACTTAGAACTCATTAATTTTTTTTAACTATACTATGATCTGTATTCAAGAATGGTAAGGGATCTGTCATTCACAACTACGGAACTCAAAGTTCAGTTGTCTCTTTGCCCACCCTCAGTGGAGAGCTAGAGCTCTTGATGCTAGTGTGCTTCTCAGTTGTGGCCATTGTGTATTCCTTGCTTTTCCGCCATCTAATTCACTATACACTCAAAAACATCTCCATGTTAGATAGGTTGAAGTCTTCCTGTCTTTTGGATGATGCTTAAAAGCAGTAGTATATACTATTTATACTAATTCTGGTTGCTAACTTTACTTCCTGAACTGGGTCTGAACAGGTTTCTCTCTAAACAGCTAAGGATTACATAGGTGAGGTGCACACTAGAACACATTTAGTTACTTAAAAACTAAATTTTGCTTTTAAATATTAATATTAGAACATCTATGTAAAAGAGAAAATCTTTTAATGTTCACTACATGTAATGTTTCATCACATTTTCAAGCATATTTGCTATGTAATTTTAAAATGAATGGACACCGGGTTGGGAAGTAGGCATTAGAGAAAACAACCAACAAAGGCTATAATACATACTTCCAATTAGAATTAGAATTCTATAGAATCATTCCTTTTAACACAGCATATATTTTATAATCTGTAACTTTAAAAATCCAATGAACTACGCCAAGAAAATCAGTTGTCATTGGGTCATAACAAATCATCCCTTTATATCCTAGCAACATCCATTTCCTACACCATAATGGGGAAATCTTTCCTTATACCTTCATTAGCAATTACTAATACTGCTTGGGGTACTTTCAAGTATGGGTTTAGAGAAAAACTGGGATGCTACAAGTTAACCCAAGGCTCCATTTTTCTCAAGGCTTCCTTATCAGAGGTTCTAAATTAATATAAATTCCATTTTATTCTAGAGCCATCCCCAAATAGACATTGTGCTGCATAACTTCAAGTCTATCATAATGTCATATCACTCAAGACATATTTGTTTTGTATATAGTAAGAACTTATACAGGCATAGTGTTTATTATATGCCAGATTCTACTGTTCCATCTATCTATCCATTCATCCTCTTTTAGTCTTAAAAATAACCCACCCAGGGAGCTTATAGACATAAAATCCAGCTTATATCACATAGCTAATAAATAGCAACACAGGGACTTGAACTCAAGCATTCTAATCCTGAGGCCAGTGAGACAGCTCTACAGGTAAAGTGCTTGCTAAGCAAGCCTGCTAATCCAAGTTCTTTCCCCAGAACATATGTAAAGTTGGAAGCAGAGAACTGACTCCACAAAGTTGCCTTCTGACCCTTACACATGCTTATACCTCCATACATTATTCACATACAATTAGTAATTTTAAAAAATGTTAATTCTGATTTTGGAAAGAGACTGTTCTCAATCACCAACCATACTATACATGCTTCCGTGCCCCATTCAAACAAACAAAAACAATGGTTCTAGTTTCCAACACCATTCCTATGGTGCCAAAGAGATTTCATCATTTTAGCTACTCTGAATAACAAACAATGGTTAGCTCCATCTTACAGAGAAGTCTAAAACCAACTCAGCCCGCACATCTGCATCCTTGTCTATTTCCATCACTCTATAACCTTTAAACCACCACTACTATTAGATAATTTAAAGACAACCATATCTTACCCTGGGCACATCTTATCTCCTTTTTTTTCATGTAAAATAGCACAGTCATAGCAAAAGACATGCTTGCATGGAATCTGTAGACAAAAATACCATAGTTAGGCATCCTAGAACAACTTAGAATATTTCAATAATAGTACCATCATCTACAGATAGAAGGCATACAGGAAATATTTAAATGAGGACTTATGATTACATACCAGTAGCAGTTAACAATTAATTCATTAGATTTTTTTTTTTTTTTTTTTTTTTTTTTTTTGAGGCAAAGTTTCTCTGTGTAGCCATGGCTGTCCTGGAACTCACTCTGTAGACCAAGCTAGCCTCAAACTCAAGAGATCTGCCTGTCTCTGCCTCCTGAGTGCTGGGATTAAAGATGTGCACCAATGCCTGGCTTAATCACAAGTTTTCTGAAAATGTTTTAAAAACTTTGGCTCTTTTCCCAATAAGTAAATATGTGCACATCTACTAATGCTTTACTCTGTATTTCTGGAGACAGGATTTCACGTGTACCTCAGGTTGGCCTTAAACTCTGATGTATCTGAGGCAGGCCTTGATCTTATCATCCTTCTGCCTCAACCTTCAGAGTGCTAGGATTACAGGATTAGTCCTCTTGCCTGGCACCTGCTTGTATTTTCAGATAGATATGTGAACCTATCGATGTTGACTAGAGTCCCTGCAAGTTGAAAGCTCCTGAGAAAGAACACTAAATGTGTTTTATCTTAGAGTGTTTCTCCTGAAGCTATCCAAAAAAAGTAAAGTATAACTACATTAAATTCATTGTGTTATAAAACTTCTCAGCCTTTTTGTACATATTATGTTTTAAAATTAGTTATAAAAAATAGTAAGCTATACTTTATTTGTACTTACCATTCTTCCATAGACTTTAATAGGCAATCCACATTTGTCACAGAAATGAACTGGCGTATCATCCTTTTCACCTAAGATGTTTATCTGTTGAAATGATAATTAAAATTTCCTCTTAAAGCAATTCTGAAAATTGTACTCATCAATTTCACACAGTGAAATGATTAGAATTTTATAATAGTTGTTACTACAAACAGAAATAAAAGCTGCTTAGTGTAACTCTGCTTGTTTTCCTTCTTAAATAGTGGCTGTTGATTTTACTTGGTTTACTGAAAATCACCTTAAATTATTTTTGGAGATGTAGAAACAAGCAAGTGGCCTTATGTGTGCTAAAAGTTACAGACACACTAAAAATTCATACTATCAATGCTTAATTTTTCATTTTTAGTTATACCTTAAAATCCCAAAAAAGGTGTCCTGGAAATCTTCGCTGATTTCCAAAGAGTTCGCCTCCTTTACAGTCATACCGCTGTTCTTCATTGTAATCAAATCCTTCTGAGAGAAAAAAATTATGTTACATTTTTCCAACTTCAAATTTCATTTTTAAAGTATATTTACATGACAAAATAGACCTATTTACTGAAAAACATTTCTGATGATCTAAGAACATAAATATCAAAACTAGTTTAAAATGCCAGCTGATCCTGGTGATCATCTAGTCCATCTCTAGTATTTTACAGAGGACAATATACACTGGATATGGAAACCACCATAGAAGCTTAGTGGCAGGGCCAAGAACAGACTTGTAAGAGTCTCTTATTCAATGCTCTTATCAACTCCCCACACTGTCTCTATTATAAAACCTCACCAATTACCACCATCATGTTTACTGCACAAATTTTAAAGATAGTATCATCATCTATTCTAAACCACCTACAAAAGTGGTACCAGGCTACAAGAGACTGATTTGATTGCCAAAGGACATAATGAATTCTGCAGCCTTTTTATGACTTCCCACTCAAAGTGAGAATGGCTTCAGAAATAACAGATGAAGACATTTGATCTTTTTAGCTAAAGCCTCTCCCTAGTCAACAACCCAAACCGCAGGAGGTAAAATACTTACTTACCAGTATCCGTTCCTTTGGAACATATATATCATGTAACAGGACACTAGGAAGATCAAATGGTCTGACTATCTCTAGTCTAATTAAAAAGTTGATGGCAAGCCTCTCAAGCAAAATAACATAAACCAATGAACAGTCTAATGGGAGGTCCAGTACCATCCAATTACCCAAGTAAAGCTAAGAAGACAAAAATACCACCAGGCGTTGGTGGCACACACCTTTAATCCTAGCACTTGGGAGGCAGAGGCAGGTACATCTCTGAGTTCGAGGCTGGTCTACAGAGAATGTTCTAGGCCAGTCACAGTTACACAGAGAAATCCTGTCTCATAAAACAAACAAAAACAAAAACAAAAAGATAAAAATATCTAAGGTGCCAAGGTTCTCATGACTCTTTTTGGCTCTAGAACTGGTAAACAGAGTAGCCAAAGCACAAATATTTTGTGCACAGCTACTAGTGTGTACACATAGATCCACACACAGAAAGTCAAGCCAGTTTTTAAAGCTGACATAGCACTATTTTTACTTCCAAGACAGGATTTCCCTGTGTAGCACTGGCTGTCCTGGAACTCGCTCTGTAGACCATGCTGTCCTTGAACTCACAGAGATCCACCTGCCTCTGCCTCCCAAGTGCTGGGATTAAAGGCATGTACCACCATTACCCAGCTGCACTACACTTTTTAATTAATCCCAACAAAACTATATAGTTCAAAGTCATGAAGTTCTTATCAGTGACAACTGAGTGCCCCTAAGCTCTCATATGACACATTTAAACTTCATAAAACCTGGGGTCATTAAAATTCAAGCTAAGGAAAATCAACATGTCAAACCCAGAAATTATTGAGGTCAGCGGTCGAGGGAAACGTAGCACACATGACTACTTTTCAGAGTGGCACAAGCTGTTCTCTTATCATTAAGCATGTATTTACAGTTATCACACCTGTATCTGAAACTCCATTTTGATCAGTTTTAGAAAAAGGGAGTATTTTTTAAATTCAAAATTCAAAAATTATCTTTTCAGTTTGCTCTTTTATGAGAGCAATAGCAGTTCCCTATAAAAGGGGCTGTATGGCTTTGGGATGAGGGTGAAATGCCTATAGGAAAATGCTGTGGAACAATCTTTGTATACAGTAAATATGTGTTGCTTTCATTGTTAATAAAAAGCTATTGGCTCATAGCTAGGCAGGATTTGGGGGCAGGGAGAATGCTGGAAGAAGGGCAGAGTCAGAGGAGTTGCCAGCCAGGCAGAAAGGAAGCAGAACATGCAGGAGATAAAAGCCACGAGCCTCAGAACAGCACGTAGATTAATAGAAATGGGTTAATTTAAGTTGTAAGAGCTAGTTAGTAATAAGCCTGAGCTATCGGCTGAGCTTTTATAATTAATAATAAGTCTCTGAGTGGTTATTTGGGAGCCAACAGTCCCAACGAAAATCTCCGCCTACAGGAAGAAGTGTAGAAAGGGGAATTTGGCTTTTTTTTTCTTTTTTTGCACTTTGATCATAAAAAAGTATATTATATGTAGTTAAAAAATAATTTACAAAAGGCCAACATGGGTGGGGAAGCCTAGATTACACCAGTGCAGCAGCCACGTCAACTGCTGTACTCGGCCTTTGCTTAGTTGAACATATCCCAACTCACTACAGTAATTTGTAACATTTTAACTTCAACTCTACTACTTTAGTATACAGTAAAGATATGTTATAAAGTACAACGAAAGCAGTTTGGTTCTGAAAAGAACAGAATTTAGGAGTAAGACAAGTCCTCCTAGAATTTGAATGCATGCTAACAGCAATATTTCCATTCTGGAAGGAAAAACAGATTACCCAATATTTGGGGAGCTAGTGAACTCTTTTGGATAAAAATTTAAAAAGCAAGACTTCATTAAAAAAAAAATCCATAAATGTTCTAAAACATGGGTCAATAAACTGTTGCTACAAACAGTTACATAGTACAAATTTTAGGCTTTCTAGGTCATATCAATCTACTCTATTTTGCCATGATAGTGAGAAAGCAGCCATAGACTATTAATACTCAACTGAATGGTAACTTTCCTTTTTTTTTTTTTTAAAGGAATCAAATTTGACTCATAGGCCAGTTTGTTGACTTCTAATAAATGAGAAGACAGGAAAGTGAAAGAGCAAACTCAACTGACTACTTAGAATGTTCAAATTCTTTACAGTAATATTTTATACATAAAACTCAAAAGATAAATGAACTACAGACATTTAACATTGCCACTTTTACAAAGAACAAAAAACACTTTCTCAAAAGCTAAGAGAAAGGCACCAATCAAAACCAGATGATGGAACACAGACAAGAAATGGCTAATACTGCAAAAAGGCACCCATACACTTAAGTTTCTGTCATGGGCACAGTGGCTCTTGCCTGTAACAACAGCACTCACAAGGCTGAGGCAGCAAAACTGCTCAAGTTCAAGGACAAAAGCCCTGCCTCAAAAAAATGTTTGTTAATAATAAGAAATATTGATGTGAGTATAAACCAACAAACCCTTTCTGAAGAGTAATTTAGCAGGATCTGATAAATTCTAAAATGTACAAGTCAAGTCTTTAAATTTTTTTTTAATTTGTTGTGGACATGATATGGGGACATAGGTTTGCACAGTATGCCAGTGAAGGTCAGAAAACAACTTCTGGACGTCAGTTCTCACCTTCCTCTTTTATATTAGTTCTAGGGATGGACATAAGTCACCATGCTTATGTGGCAATTGCCCTTATTCACTAATCTTGCCATCCCCCAAGTCAAGTTTTTAATGTTCATACTACAATAGTTACAGTCAAACAAATAACTAGAAAAAAGTTAAAACACCTGAGACTATTCATTTGTTTGAGACAGGGTCTGGCATCAAACTACAATCCTCTTGCCTCAGCTTCCTTCGTCTGGGATTAAAGGCATGGACCATCACTACCGATCTTACTTAAAAAAAAATCTTAACAAACATTAGCTTTGGAGAGGGCTATACAAACAAATTTTACTTTTAATGTAATGCTCTCTGCAATATTCATTAGATTCTTTGGAAAGGTCATAAGGGGGTTTATAAAGGGAGAAAAAAAGATTAGAAAATAGTGTGTAAGGTTAAGGTTAAAATTTTAAAATAGGTTTAAGTAAATAAAATCAAATAGATTAATTGGTGCACTCAGATAAAACAACACAACTGTTAAACATCTTAGTTTAAACAAGTTACCTTCATCACCTGGTGGGGCCTTTGCAGGCATCCTGCTAATATTCCTTTGAGTTCGAGGTGCAGGTTTAACTTTGTTGGCTTGTTTGGAGATGAGTTTTATAGGAATTCTTCTGCGAACATCAAGACCACCCAAGGATCCAGAACTATTAGTGCCTTGTAACTCATTGTCTATATGAATGGAAAAAAGAAGTTGTAATTTCTTTTACTTTTCTTCTTGAAAAGTGTTCTACAAGTATAAAGATAAAATCAACATCAAACAATAAATTAAAGATCTTGGTTATGATTTTAAATACCAGACTGACCTAAGTGTAACTCTGCTAATGTTCTTCATTTGAGATAAACCTTTAAAGCAATGATTTTGGTTACCCTTTTTTGAGACATGGAACCATTTCAAAAGTTGATAAAAGTTAAAGAATCTTTATCACTTTCTAGAACTTTGAACAATAAAAATTCCCATATAATTCCACAGTATAGTTTACAGAAACAAAATATGCATGAAGGAGCTGGAGAGATGGTTCAGCAGTTAAGAGTACTAGCTGTTCTTCCAGAGGACCCAGATTCAATTCCTAACACCCACAGAGCAGCTCATAACTGCCTGAAACTCCAGTTAAGGGATCTGACATACTCATACAAATGTACATACAATAAATAAAATAAAAATGCAAGGAAAGAAACCTCTGACACAAATTTTAATAGATTTTTTAATTATAAAGGAGAAAAAACAAAATGTGTCTAATAATTAAACATGCAAAGTGGCCACTCAATAAACTTAGTAATAGACAAATAATAAAATTAGAAATCCAATATTCAATCTGATATCTGATATGTATTTGAAAATTGTTTTAATTTTGGTGTGTGTGCACGTGGGCATGTGCCTGTGAGTGCAGTTGGAGCCACAGTGGACATGTGCAGATCAGAAGACAACTGTGGGAGTTGGTTCTCCCTTCCTACCACTTGAGGCCCAGATGTTGAATTCCAGTCCTTCACAGGTCTTTCTTTACCTGCTAAGTCGTCTTGCTGGTCTATGTGCTGGTTTTAAACAGGTAATTATTCCTTTAAGCATAACATTTTTTTCTAAAAAGTATTCAAGGGATCTACAAAATTATACCATTTAATAGAACACATAGTGCATTACTTATGTTGTAACATTTCTAGAGACGTGGGTAACTGACATCCTCAGCTAAGAAGTCAACACTGTGATGGAAAACTGTATTTAGACTTAGGTCTCAACAACTGAAACTTTCTGGTCTTTAAAAATCTTATCATCTATGGAATAAAAAAGAATTCTTGTCCATGAATAATAGGTACGTTATTTCACAGGACTGACTCATATAAAACTTTACTTTTTCAAGTACATAAAGATATGTAACACAAAATATTCAATTTTACTTTAAGACAAAAAGGGAAATGCTTAAAAATAGGAAATGCAAATGTAACTTTTAAACTGTACTGTTTCAAACACAAATAAATGAACAGAATTCCTGCAAGAATTACAATCAAAACTTACAGCCAAACTGTCCACATTAAATTTGGTAAAGCCAAATGTAATTCAAAATGGGTTTCAATGATTAAACATTTGTCTACTTTCTACTCTTGTAACAGGGAACACCTCTTAAAATTTTTCATGGAAAGGGGATTACATGAATAGCTACAATCTTGAATAAAATAAACCCAATTTGATCAACCTTCAAGACTGCACTAAAATGGAATGTCTGTTCATATATTTCAACAGTCTTCACTGCATTTGTTCATTCATATAGAAGTACCTACCAGTTGTAGAGATATGACAGATGACCTTTTTTCCCTTGCATGAAAACTAAGTTGTTGCCCTTCGGATATCTTAGTGATGTTACCTTAGTGAATGAAAATAGAACACTTTATCTGCATCTTTCAACTACCTCACACAACTGAGTTCTCCATTACTTGAACAGCCAGCCTAGCCCTTTCAAGAGCCTGCTGTACGTGTGTGTGTGTGTGTGTGTGTGTGTGTGTGTGTGTGTGTGTGTGTGTATAAAATTTTTATTTCATGTGCATTCGTGTTTTGTCTGTGTGAAGGAGTCTGATCCCCTTGAAAATAGAGGCAGTTAGGAGCTGCTATCTGGATGCTGGGAACTGAACCTGGGTCTTGTGGAAGAGCAGCCAGTGCTCTTAACTGCTGAGCCATCTCTCTAGTCGAGTCTGCTCTCTTTTGTTTTTGAGACAAGGTTTCTCTGTGTAGCCCTGGCTGCCCTGGAACTCTTTGTAGAGCCTGCTGTTTCTTAAAGCTACTGTTTGCTTCACAGATTTCAAGTGACAACATTCTGGGGCTTTTTTAAAAATAAAAACGTAACATACACGTTGTTGAATATATATAGTATCAAAACAACAACACACAATAATTAAGAAATGTCTGGATATTACATAAGGGATAAAAAGAATAACTGGCCATTTAATGTGAATCTACCTTTAAATGTGGTAACACTTCATTATATCGTTTCAAAAACAATACACTGGCTGCTCTTCCAGAGGACCTAGGTTCGATTCCCAGCACCCAGCATGGCAGCTTACAACTGTCTGTAACTCTAATTCCAGGAAATCTGATACTCTCAACACAGACATCCGTGCAGGCAAAACACCAATGTACATAAGAAAAAAGAAAAAAAAGGGAAAAGATTTTAAAAAAAAAGAGCCAAGGTATTGGTAGAAACTGTCTGAAGTACTGAAGATCCTGAGTTCAGGTCACCAGCATCCACCTCCCAAAAAAGAATGAAATAGCATTTTACAAAATTTGTGTTACTTTTACCTAAGTGCTAACTAACTCTCATAATGACCAAAGAATGAATCAAGTGTAGGTAGGGTCTTATTGACCTGAGCACTTCTGTGACCTGGGAGCATGTGGACAGGGCTGCCCTTGGAGGAGTTTCAGGGGCATCACCTTTCTCTGCTTCCCTCCACCCCTGAGGGCCTTGGGTTTGCCTGGCTTCCTCTGTGCTCACAGCCCAGTGCTGACACTTCTGCAATCCAGAGAAACACTAAATAAAGCAACACTTGTTTGCAGAGAAAAAGAGAGGCAGGAAGGGAGAGAGGGAGGCAGGGAAGGAGGGAGGGAGGGAGGGAGATTGATTTATGGAGTTGTTTTGTTTTGTTTTGTTTTCTGACAAAATTCTATTTCAATACTTCCATTTACAAGACGTCTTGATCCTTTGACATTAAAATCATTATTCTGGGCTGGAGAGATGGCTCAGCGGTTAATTGGCCATCTAATGTGAATCTACCTTTAAATGTGGTAATAGTTTCAAACCAATACACTGGCTGCTCTTCCAGAGGACCAGGGTTCGATTCCCAGCACCTACATGGCAGCTCACAAGGGTCTATAACTCAAGTTCCAGTGGATCCAACTTCCTCACAAAGACATGCAGGTCAAACACTAATGCATATACAAATTTTTTTTTTTTTTTTTGGTTTTTCGAGACAGGGTTTCTCTGTGTAGCTTTGCGCCTTTCCTGGAACTCACTTGGTAGTCCAGGCTGGCCTCGAACTCACAGAGATCCGCCTGGCTCTGCCTCCCGAGTGCTGGGATTAAAGGCGTGCGCCACCACCGCCCGGCGCATATACAAATTTTAAAAAATTAAAATATTATTCTGAGAAGTCTATTCAGTCAGGAAATCATCAAATAACTAGCTAACTGGCATTTCTGGATTTGCCAAAGGCTCTGTGATTCAAATAGTTTTCAAATTTGTATTTATATGAGTCTTGTGAAAGTTTGAGTCTTTTGCTTAGTTTAATTTTTTTCCCTCAAAATGTGCAGCAATCAACACTAAGACATTAAGATGACTGTCTCATAAGTAATTTAAAACTGATTTAAGCAGAAATTTTTTTTAAAAAAATCTAGCTAGCTTATAATTAGTGATTATTTTCTGTTAGAATGATTTCTATCTCCCCAGGCAACCTTTCATTAACAACTTAGAAACTGGGATATTTTATATATGCAGTACCAAGATGCTCTAATGAGAAACTCAGTTTTTCTCATTTTTCTCATATATTTCCACAAACCAATCCATTAGCAGCTGTTGGATTCTCCACCAAAATATTTGAAATTGCCCATTGTCTGTGCTCCGCCTCAAGTTTTCCCCCCACAGCCTTGCTGGGGATTGAACTAGGGACCTGTGTTAGCTAGGTAGGTGTTCTATCACTGAGCTACCCTTTCACTAAACGGAGCCTCCCTCTGGGCCACTGCAACCATCACCTATTTATTTACTCCTGTTCTTCCTCTCCTACACCATTCTCCATAGAAGAGCTGGGATCATTTTTAAAATATTATGCTCCTAGTTTTATTCAATTGCTTCGTAACCACTTAAAATTCAACCCTTTACCATGATTCTCAAATTCACGAACAAGGTAACTTGTGTTTTCCTTCCCTTCTCAACTGAGGGCTCTCCCTCTTGCTAACTAGACCACAGATATTTGGCCTTCTCTACATCTTACCATTCCAAAAACACCTTTCCCTGGCACTCTCTGAAATTTCTACTCCATAAGCACCTATTTTCTTAAAGTACTCACCACAATCTGTAGGCGGTTTTTAAAAAAGAAACCAACCTGCCTGCCCCTTTTGATAGAATGTAAACTCGAAGGCAAGGACGCAGTCCTATTGTTTACCAGCTCATCATTCTATCTCCAAGCCTACGAGTATCTGCAGGCAATTATATAATTAAGTAGTTATTTGAGGGCATCTCTGTCAACTCTTAAAAGAAAAAGCCTTTTCCTCCTGCTTGTCGGAAGCACTCAAAGCCAAGTGCACTCATTCAATAACTAAGAACAAGAAAACGAAGCCCACAGAAATAAACTTTGAAGCCACTATTACTTGGAATATGCGATGGAAATGTCTTGATCTTAAATTTGTTTGTATTTGTCCAAAAGATGCGAAAGGGCAAGGCCAAAGGGCGGGGGCATGCTTTGGGTTTAGAAAAGATGCTCTGCTTAAAACTTCGAAAACTATATCTGACTCTTCTCTAGCCTCTAGTCCGTGAAAACCCGAAGAGACAATAACCACAGAGGGTGACCACTGCAGCAGCTACCCGAAGCTGGGAGGCAGCAGGAAGTCTCCAACCCACTCTCTCTCAGCGTCCGGACGCTTCTCCAATTCCGAAAGTGGGATCCACCCGCTTATTTCCCCAGCACAAAGTGCAGAGCAACCGGAATGAGAAGGAAAAAAAGAAAAAAGAAAAAAAGAACTGGCACTCTCCCGTTCCCAACAAGCCTGCGCGGAGCAGTGTCCGCAAAGCGAGTTCAGCAGCACCGCAGAAGCAGTTCTGCCGGTCTCGAGGATGGAGGCACCGCTCTGAAAGGTAGGCCGGGGAGCAGGAGGCCCAGCCCGGGACCGGGTCTGTAAGCTTGCTTCCGCTCCGCCACGTCCAGGCGCAGTGGGGCAAGAGTAGCCCCTTGTGCCCGCTGGGAGACCAGTCCCACACGAACCAAGGGGGCACGAAACCAGGACCCCCGCTGCCTCCGCCTCCTTACCAGTGTGATCCATGATTCGGCTCGCAGGGCACAGTGGGAGCGGAAGTGAGTCGCTCCAGAGTCGCATCGAGCGCGTGCGCTCTACCTTCCGGAGCCCAAAGGCGGAAGTGCGCTCGGGTCGCTTGCATGGGCTTCCCTCCCTCGCCGCCGCTGCTGCCCGACTCCGGTGAGGGAGTCAGCCATAGCCAGAACTGAGGCAGAAAGAGTAGGGGCGCGAGGACTTCGGTGTCGAGACTGCTAATGCTCCCTGGAGGAGGCAGCCTTCAGCAGTATGAAGGACACCTATTGCTGTTGGAAAGCAATAGGAACCAGAGGGAAGCGCGGCGGGCACGCCGCCCGCCCCGAGGCGCGAGGCCTTCTGGGATTTGTAGTCAGCCGATGCCGGCCGGCCGGCCCAGAGCGCAGGCTCAGCCGTTGGGCTGGTCCCACCCCGGCAGGCGGAGTAACGGTTTAGAATGCCCCCTGAATCCGCCGCTGGGTGTAAGAAAGTGTAAACACGCGGGCTCCGTAGGTGCCCGAGGGAAGCTGAGACAGCGGGGCTCTCCGTCCGGGAGAGAGGCAAGGTTCTCATTGTCTAATCATGCTTTGTCCTGACGAGTCCCAACACCCACCCGGCAGGCGGGTTTTCCCTGACTCCTACCGAAGTTTCTCAGCTGAAACGCGTGTAGAATGCCGCGAACCCCTGCTAAAACTGAAGGGAATACCAGGAGGTCCCTGTCCGACGGGGACGTTGAACAATGGTGTGCAGATAGGGTGAAGGAATGAAGATGGGGACTAGGGATTGGAGATTGGGGAGCGTTAAGGCTTGGCCGGGAGGGAGAAGTGAGAAAGGACAGGCCCGGACCGAGGAAGAGAGAGTTACCACAACAGTCAGTACCTAGTTCCAGTTCTTGGTCCCTGGGGTCTGTGGTTGCTGTTTTCATCTTGCTCAGCCAAAACAAAAGAAAGTGTCAAAGGGGGTTGCTGTGGATCTTCAGAGCATCCCCACCTCGCAGATTTGGCTCAATTAGGTCTTCTGCCTTCTCCAGCCCTTTACACTTGAAGCTCACAGATGAGTAGAAAGGAGCATAATTAGTGGAAAACATCAGCCCAGGAGTCAAGGGATTTGGGCTCTATGGTCGTCCCTTGGTGACGACATCGTTACCTTGGGTTGTTCACGCTTTCAGTGCCAGAGTTCCTAGTTCAATAAAATATTATATTGGCCTCTTATAATGTTTTCACGGTACTCGATTCCAAATAAAGTATGTGTAGCAATGTGTCCTCTGTGTTGCATAGTAACAGCTGTGACTAACACTGTCGAGATCATATGTAAGTGTACCGTGTTATTTAGTGATTGTCTTAATTGTGGTCTTTTTAAAGACTCCAACTCATTGCGGCTTTACAAACAAGGTTGTAGGTACACTCACAACTAAGGACATTTCTGAAACAATGCCTATTTTTTGTTAAACTACTGAGTGGTCTTCAGGATGCTTTCAGTTGCTGGTATTATTGGGGAGTGAAGAAGTGTTAGATACATGAAGCTTAACCTTTCTCTGATGTTGGTGTTCTGTATTATTCAGGTCAGTCTAAGGAAGAGAGTCACTCCAGCATGTTTTATGGCTTTGCAACAGCAGGAAGGTCAACTTCTGATAAACTGACTGCCTCCTGGCTTCACAGAATCCTCTTTATTGTTACACAAAAGGCACCTTTAGCTAATCAAAAGCCTCTATTGTTACACAAAAAGCACTTTTAGCAAATCAGTTTCCCAATACCAAAACCTTTTATCTGGAATTGTTTGAAGGAATTATTTCCTAAGCAATTCTCAACCACACAAAACTTCCTGGTTTGCCAGGTAGTCTGGAGACTTAAGTTATGCAAAAAGCTCTGAAATTCCTTCTATAGAGCAACTCAGATAACAGTCACTATTTACAAAAGGTTACTTTAGAGCCCAGGTGCTATTACTCCAGAATTCATGGCAGATACAATGGGTCTGTTTAATCTTTCACTACACTCTTGATAGTTCTCTAAATACAGTGCTGATGTGGTATTTTTGGGACCAATGGCTAATTGTGGTGCTGGCCTTCAGACTTCCTTAATTTCACAACTACCTGTTGCTCTTCTCACCTCAGTCCCCTAAACTTCTCCAACTCATGGACACCACCACCCCCACCCCCACCACCCACCTCCACCCCCAGCCCCCAGCTTCTCTTACCTATATAACCCAGCTATTTCAGCCTTGCCCCTTTCTCCTCTCATGGCTAGGTCCAACCTGCTGGCCATATTTAGTCTACTATTTTCTCGCCCTGCTCTGCACTCCTTCAGATGCCTCTGGCTGTACTCTCATATCTGGAAAAAAAAAAACAACTCCCCTCAACTTTGGAGGGGTCATGTCCTCACTTTATATCTCTGGTGCCTAAACCCTCACTTTGTACAAGAACTTTTAGAGTTGCCTGAGAGGTGTTTTTACCAAGGAAATGTTTTTACCCTCCCCCATCAAACTTCAGATTGATGAAAATATAGAATAATAATAATGTCTAGTGCTGCTAGAGGATTAGAATTAAACAGGGCTTTGAAATTATATTAAGACTTTGATAGTTTTATCAGTATTTTATGGTGTATCATTAGGAAAATTTATTGGGGTGTCCAAGTATGGTGGAACATGCTTGTAATCCTAGCCCTTGGGAGGCTGAGACAGGAGCATTGCAAGTTTGAAGGCAACCTGGGTTACGTAGAAAATTTGCTAAAGGCTCACTGTAGTAAAATTCTGGACTCGTACTTGATTTGGCCTGTCACTTCCATACACTGCCTCAGCGTCTGTACTTACTGTAGTTGCCATACTTTCATCAATGCAGTAGCAGTGTGACAAAATGGTCTCTTAATTTGTGAGTTAGATTGTACATAGACTT